CTCAGTTTCAGATACTGGTTTTGCTGCACTCGTGCAAACCCTTAGTGTAGATGGGGGTAAGTTGCTATAAATCACTATTTTCCCCTATGCATCTTATACCCATTTCAGGCAGGGGTAAATTGCACCAGTGCAAACTGCAGCTTATAGCCTGCCTACACTAGGGGTTTGTACCAGTGCAGCTATCCCAGTGGCTGGATATCAGTAGCTTAAACCTCCCATGTAGACACGGTTTTAGATTCAGTTAGCGGCCTGCTGCATAAATTGCCATATGCTGTTGAGACTGGAGAGGAACTAAGCATCTCATGTACCAGCTTGATTGTGGACCCTTTCATTTTAGATTAACTCTAAACTGTGTGCTTTTCCTTCTGTCGAACTAGCTGGATTACTTACATGCAGGATGTTTCGAAGGTGCAATAATTTGAGAGAGAGACAATCTGGATTATTGTTCTTTTTATTCAAGGTTTACCAAGCAGATACTGGCCAATTTCTCTGCAAAGACAAGTATTATGGAAGAAAACTGTCACCTGATGGCTTCAGACAGGCCCTCTACCAGTTCCTTCACAATGGTAACCGTCTCAGAACAGACGTTTTAGAACCCATTGTGTCACAGCTAAAGGCTCTGCTTTCAGTCATCAAAAGCCAGAGTTCCTATCGATTCTACTCCAGCTCCCTTCTCATCATCTATGATGGACAGGAACCAAAGGAGAATAAAGAAACCTTAGACAACCATCCTCAGGGGTGTTTTCAGAACATAAACCGCACCATGCCACATGGGACGGGTTACCCCAAAGTTGATGTCCGCATGATAGATTTTGCTCACACCACTTATAAAGGTTCAAAGTATAATCATACCATCTACGACGGGCCAGACCATGGCTATATTTTCGGGCTAGAAAATCTTGTCAAAATTCTTGAGAATACCAGAGAAGGAGAATGACAAATGCTGTGACACAGCATGGACTTTGTGGTGATAAATATCCCAGGAAGGGACTGCCTATGCATGGGGCCCCTCCCGGCTTTTGAACATCCTGTGTACTGTTTGGAATGAGAGCATTGGTGCCTTGCTAGGAAAGCGCAGAAGATGCTACATGCCATTACCCAATCGAACTGTAAAAGCAAAGGATTGAAAAGAATCCATCGTGTCTGTGATCTCGCTAAAGATTTATTTTCCTTTCTTCTTTTACTGCTGTCCTTGATTTGTTTGCGAGCAAGAGGAAAGCATTACCTGAAAGAATCTTAAAATTAACATAGGGCCTGCTCACCTCCATATCACCTGCAAAGCCAAGAACGCTAAGCAAAGACCATGCAGTTGAAAGACTATTAAGAGGTGTTGGCAGGTCTTAACAAGTTGCAGCATTACTTTCAACCCAAGCTCAACATGATGGGCCAAGGACATTCAATGACACAAACAGAAGACAATTGCACTTTCTGATCTTCACGCCCCAAACACCTGGCACTTTTAAGACTGTGATAATGTGTGAAGCCCTCAGTACGGTGTGTATATATATATACACGGTATATGTGGTGCTATATAAGAGGTGCTATGTTTAAGAGGTCCTTGGTGTGAGGAATTTATAGTCCCAAGGCATGAGTGAGGATGCTACAAAGCACAAACAGAATCGTACAAGTACTTAATATGCCCTGGAAGAATAAGGGGGCAGACTAAGGAGTTTTCTGAAGGAGGGGATGGAAAGGAGCCAGATATATCAGAGAGTGCTGAGTCTGTCTGATACTGATGTCAAGAGTGCCGATTAGGTGAGATACTGGTCATGAAAGGATTCTCATCAGGACCTGGTAGTGTGACATAAGGCTTGCCTGTGCATGAAACTTATTCCAGAATAAGGTACAGTGTGAATTCAAAGTGGAACAGCTGTTCCGAAATAACTCCGTGTGTGGGTGCTTGTATTCTGGAATAAGAGTGCCTTTTTCTGGCTTAGCTTAATCCACTTCCAAAGTGCAAAATAGTTATTCCGGAATAACTCCATGTTTGGACCGGCCCTCTGAGTCAGGAACTGGACATTTAGGGTCATTTTTTTTTTTGAACTGTGTATGTGTGCGCGAGTGTGTGCGTGTGTGTGTTTGGAGAACACACAATTGGGAAAATTTAACAAAATGCTTACAATATTTGTGGGCAGATAAGAATACGGAACAACCAATATAACCAATTCCTTCCTGTGCAATATGGGAAACCTGTTAGAATGTCCTTAAGTCAAGAACAGAGATACAAAGTGCAATTACTGGGGAGCTGAAGTGTAAATAAAATTGTCCAGGTCACTGTCACTTATTGTTGTCCACTTCTTTTCCTCACTTCCGGTGCCACCTGAAGTTGGGTTGTGTTTAGCACTGATTGCTTTAAAAGAACCATTCTTTTCACAGGTTTAAATATCCCCTTAAGAGAAACCCTTTCAGGTGTACTTTATTGCATGCAGCCGGTGAATATCCATAAATTATGGCTGGCAAATTCAATCGTCTGGCTGGCTTGTATGTTTTACTTAGGCAGGGTGAAATCAAGTTCTTTAATGGAAGTGGTTCTCGACACTGCATGTTCCTAGCATACAATCTCAGATGACCACAAAGAGCCACAGTAGCCCCACTTGAGCAGTCAAGGTGCCAAACCACCAACTGCTTTGGCCCAAATTGTACATATGTGATCCTAGCAGCACTTTAGAATAGATCACTCGATGATTACCTGTTCTGTTCATTGCCTCTGGGGCACCTGGCATTGGCCACTGTTGGAAGACAGGATACTGGGCTAGATGGACCTTTGGTCTGACCCAGTAGGGCCGTTCTTATGTTCACTTTCCAGCTTTGCCCAGACATTGCCCTTTTCTAAGATGCACATTTAGCTCTTTTCTTGCTGAGCGTCCTCATTCTGCTAATACTGACATACAACCCTCCAAAAGGGAAAATATTCCCTCATTACTTATTGTTTACCTGGATAGATCAATGCACCCTTGTGCTGGTCTTCAAGAGTGCTATAACTCTGCAGTTGTAGTAAAGAGTGTGAGGAGACAAACTCAGGCCTACCTCCTGTCCTGGCTGCCACAGGAGGGGATCAGGAAGGGCTGAGGGTGAGGGGTTGGGTTGTGGTGTTTGATTGCTCCTCTGAAAAGGAGGAGTGTGCACCCTAGCCAGAGCTTCCTGCTGGATATAAACTATAGCCCTGCTGCTCTGTAGGTGCGCAAGAAGGGTGGAGGCCATAAGCAGCACAACTGCAGACTGTGAAGATAGGGACTGCTCTCTCCAGGAGCCCCCTAAATGCAAGACACCCAAGAGGAGGCAGGGCCATGTCCTTGCTTTCCAATGCATTAGGGGCTCCTGCTGGTGTGCAGCTGAAGGCAGTGTCTAAATGCTGTAAATAGAACTCCTCTAGGACTGATGGAACAGGCCAAGAAAGTTTGGTTACATGCTGTGAAAGCCCCTGCGTTTCTCTAAGCAGGAGACAGGCTTCACTGCTACTTGCAGAGGGGTAAGAGGTTCCCTACTCGTCCTTTTCCTCTTTATGCAGTAGCACAGGGCAGGATTTAGCCTTCCGTCTGGCACGAGGTATGCCTCTGATTTACAGTACAACCTTGTTAGCTGGGAGTGGAGATGGAGAAATGGATATGCCTTTCTATGCTTTTAAAATGGCCAGAAAGCGCGCTTGACATTAGCTATTCTGTGCCGCGCAGTCGGTAGCCTGGCACGGACATGTTTGCAGCACAGCAGAAACCAGATCCCTTTGTCAGTGGCAGAAAGCCTTGTACGTGGCAGAGTAGGCAGCAGGCTGTTAAATGACGGGGCAAAGCAACACCATTCAGCAGCCGCCTTTCAAAACACACTGTTATTGCAGGCATGTTAGTCCCAGGATATGAGGACGACGAAGTGGGTGAGGTAATATCTTTTATTGGATCAACTTCTGTTGGTGGACAGGACAGGACAGGAAGGTACAAGCTTTCGAGCTACACAAAGTGAAGACTTCGGTATAGCTTGAAAGGATTTACCTTCCACCCCCAGAAGCTGGTCCAATAAAAGATACAACCTCACCTACTACCTTGTCTCTCTCAAATGACAGGTTATAAACCCGTGCATTAGTGACCCCTTTCACACAGCAAGCCTCTGAGTGCGACCCCCCCCCATAAATTAAAAACACTTTTTATATTTAACTCTATACTAAATGCTGGAGGAGAAGCGGGGTTTGGGGGTGGAGGCTGAAAGCTCGTGACCTCCCACGTAATAACCTTGTGACCCTAAGGGGGGGTCACGACCCCCCGTTTGAGAACCCCTGTATACACCAAATGGATGATAGGCTTCAGAGTGTAGATTAAGAACTGCATTGCAAAGGGGGTCCTGACTTCCTTCTGCTCTTTCACCATCCCAGGGCTGTTTTTTCACAAGCAGGGGCCTCGCTGGGCTTGGTGGTCCGGTCAAAGCGCTGTGGCGTTAGTTGGAGCCTGGCTGCCCCAGTTCTCGAGGGAGAGCTCAGTGGTTTGAGCATTGGCCTGCTAAACCCAGGGTTGTGAGTTCAATCCTTGAGGGGGCCAGTTTAGGGATCAGGGGATTGGTCCTGCTTTGAGCAGGGGGCTGGACTAGATGACCTCCTGAAGTCCCTTCCAACCCTGTGATTCTCTGCAGCCCATGTCCCTGAGCTGCTGGTGCTGCTCCCAGGCACGGAGACGTTCCCCTCCCCGCTCAGATCTGCCCCTATCCAGCACGCTGGCTGGAGGCAGGTCAGGAGCATGCCCCAGGCTCTGCCCCCTCCCCCCCGCCTTCCCTGCTCCCAGCCACAGGGCGCTCAAGCTGCGTCTCAGGGTCAGGCTCTATGCGCATGCGTATCCGCCTCCGGCTGCCCCCAGCTCCAGCCCGCAGCGCATGGCTTCGCTGGACCGTGCTGCGCACGCGCCACCTGACGGAAGACGAGCCGAGCGGCCGCTCTGATTCCGCATGCGTGCGGAACGGTCCCTCTCGCCCGCCGTACTTTTGAACAATTCGCCGGCTCATTCCCACGTTCGGAGTCACGTGACCTGTTAATCGTCTCTGGCAGGGGGCGCCTGGGCCTCAGTCCCAAGATGGCGGCCACCCGCTACCGGCGGTTTCTGAAGCTCTGCGAGGAGTGGCCGGTGGAAGAGACCAAGCGGGGCCGGGACCTGGGCACTTTCCTGCGGCAGCGGGTGGCCCAGGCCTTCCGGGAGGGGGAGAGCACCCAGGTGAGCGCCGCGGGGCGGGAGCGCGGCCGCGACCCCAGCTGGGCCGGGGGGGGCCGGGGCTTGGGCCCGGGGGGGAGACAGCCACGGCCCGCGCCTCGCAGCTCCCCCCCCCCAGCTACTCCCGGGCACCTACACCCCGTGCAGCCCCTCAGCCACCCCCGGTTTATCTCCCCTTCACAACCACTGCCCCCCAGCCCCGCGCCCTACAGCTACTCCCGGGCACCTACACCCCGTGCAGCCCCCCTCCGGCTTCTCTCCCCTTCACAACCACTGCCCCCCAGCCCCCCCCGGCCCTCACAGCCCCCAGGCACTCCCTGACACCTTCACCCCCTGCAGCCCCCCAGCCACCCCCGGCTTATCTCCCTTTCACAACCACTGTCCCACAGCTCCCCTGCCCCTCACAGCCCCCCTCAGCTACTCCCTGACACCTGCAGCCCCACAGCCACCCCGGCTTATCTCCCCTTCAGAACCACTGCCCCCCCCAGCTACTCCCTGACACCTACACCCCGTGCACACCCCCTGCGGCCCCCCACGACCCGCCCCAGCTACTCCCGGACACTTACACCCCGTGCAGCCCCTCCTCCGGCTTATCTCCCCTTCACAATCTCTGCCCCCACCCAACTACTCCCTGACCCTACACCCCATGCACACCTCCTGCAGCCCCCCAGCCACCCCCAGCTTATCTCCCCTTCACGTCTGCTCACAACTACTGCCCCACGGCTCCCCTGTCCCCCCCGGACCCTCACAGCCCCCCCCAGCGCCCAGTCACCCCCTTACACCTGTCCCCCATACACGCCCCTTCAGCCACCTCTTCTCTTACATCTCTGCCTGCAGGCACTGCTCCCCCTCGCAGCCCCCCCAGCGCCCCCGCCACCTCCATCATCCCCTTACACCTGTACCCCATACACACCCCTTCAACCACCTCTTCTCTTACATCTCTGCCTGCAGTCACTGCCTCCCTCTCCCCCACCCTACACCTGTACCTCATACACACCCTTTCAACTGCCTCTTCTCTTACATCTCTGTCTACAGTCACTGCCTCCCTCCTGCCCCTCACAGCCCCCACCCCGCGATCCTCCCCAGGTCCTTTACACCTACATCCATCCCCAACACATCCCTTCAGCCACCTGTTTTTTTTCCCCAATGCTATTTCTACTACCCATTTAATAGCTAGTGTAGCTATCATCATTCAAATACTGGTAGGGTCATTTTAGGTCTGGATACAAAGTGTGCTTAGTCTGGAGATCAAGTATGGTGATACTGAGGGTATGTCTACACTACGGAATAAGGTTGAATTTATAGAAGTCGTTTTTTTAGAAATCGGTTTTATATATTCGAGTGTGTGTGTCCCCACAGAAAATGCTCTAAGTGCATTAACTCGGCGGAGTGCTTCCACAGTACCGAGGCAAGCGTCGACTTCCGGAGTGTTGCACTGTGGGTGGCTATCCCACAGTTCCCGCAGTCTCCGCTGCCCATTGGAATTGTGGGTTGAGATTTCAATGCCTGATGGGGCTAAAACATTGTCGCGGGTGGTTCTGGGTACATATTGTCAGGCCCCCGTTCCCTCCCTCCCTCCATGAAAGCCAGGGCAGACAATCGTTTCGCGCCTTTTTTCCTGAGTTACCTGTGCAGATGCCATACCATGGCAAGTATGGAGCCCGCTCAGCTCACTGTCACCGTATGTCTCCTGGGTGCTGGCAGATGCGGTACTGCATTGCTACACAGCAGCAGCAACCCATTGCCTTGTGGCAGCAGACGGTGCAATAGGACTGGTAGTCGTCATTGTCAGGTCCGAGGTGCTCCTGGTCGCCTCTGTGAGGTCGATCAGGAGCGCCTGGGCAGACATGGGCACAGGGACTAAATTTGGAGTGACTTGATCAGGTCATTCTCTCTAGTCCTGCAGTCAGTCCTATTGAACCATCTTATGGTGAGCAGGCAGGTGATACGGATGGCTAGCAGTCCTATTGCATCATCTTCTGCCGGGCAGGCAAGAGATGAGGATGGCATGCAGTCCTTCTGCACCATCTGCTGCCAGCCAAAGATGTAAAAGATAGATGGAGTGGATCAAAACAAGAAATAGACCAGATTTGTTTTGTACTCATTTGCAACCCCCCACCCCCCGTCTAGGGGATTCATTCCTCTAGGTCACACTGCAGTCACTCACAGAAGGTGCAGCGAGGTAAATCTAGCCATGTATCAATCAGAGGCCAGACTAACCTCCTTGTTCCAATAAGAACAATAACTTAGGAGCACCATTTCTTATTGGAACCCTCCGTGAAGTCCTGCCTGAAATACTCCTTGATGTAAAGCCACCCCCTTTGTTGATTTTAATTCCCTGTAAGCCAATCCTGTAAGCCGTGTTGTCAGTCGCCCCTCCCTGCGTCAGAGCAACGGCAAACAATCATGCATCTGAGTTGAGAGTGCTGTCCAGAGCAGTCATAATGGAGCACTCTGGGATAGCTCCCGGAGGCCAATACCGTCGAATTGTGTCCACAGTACCCCAAATTCGACCCGGCAAGGCCAATTTAAGCGCTAATCCACTTGTCAGGGGTGGAGTAAGGAAATCGATTTTAAGAGCCCTTTAAGTCGAAATAAAGGGCTTCATTGTGTGGACAGGTGCAGGTTTACATCGATTTAACGCTGCTAAATTCGACCTAAAGTCCTAGTGTAGACCAGGGCTTAGTGTTGACAGTTCACTATCTCTTTTTCCTGCCTCCAACAGCAGCCATTACCTGATGCTGTGGAGAAAGAACAATCACTTCTTAATTCTCCCGATTTGCTTAGTATATTATGCAGGTTTTTCTGTGTGCTATTTTTATGAAGTTATGCAGATAAGACCCCTACCCTCTAATTATAAAACACATTTATTTTCTCAGCCAGAGATAAAGTCGAAAGTGCACATGATACAACTGTAATGGTCTTCTTTGTAGCTCTGAATACAATGAAAAAGTACTTAAATAACAGTAATGACTCTTAGAAGGGCTGTAGAATGTTTTGTATGAATGTATTAGGTGAATAACAAAGTAGGACAACGGTCCTCTCCTAGTTCAGTTGCTCCTCTACCTTATGAGACAGGACATGAAGTCCCGGGATCTGCTGTTTCTCAAGTGAGTGCCCTGATCACTGAAGTAAGGTATATTTTGTTCTTCATCTTTTATTAATTGGGCCAAAGCAAGAGGTAACTATAAGAAGCCTTCCTTAGTTCAGTGGTTATGGCACTGAGCTGTGGTGTTGGAGGCCCTGGTTCAATTCCCACCTCTTCCTGTCATTAAGGGATTTGCTGCCTAGGCTGTTTTGTTTTTTTAATGAAGTGGGCACAGGAGGAAAAAAAAATAAAAATGAATCACTCTTGTCCCAGACCCCTGTCCAGGCTGTAGGAGATCCAGTCCCCCCTCTGCCAGGAGCTTGAACATGGATCTCCCACATCCCAGGGACTGCCCCTCCTCTGCCCCCCACCTGGTGGGTGGTTCTTAATTCAAGCCCCCTTTCTTTCTCAGGAAGACAATGGCTCCTGTGAATGAGAGGGGATTTAAACAAGGACCCCCCCACCTTGGTCACCTGGGAGAGAGGAGAACCCTCTTCAAACCCCTTCTAAGGGGCAGAGAGAGGACTCAAACCGGGATCACCTGCATTCTGGGCGAGAGTCCTAGCCATGGGACTATAGAGTGATGATTTTAGCTTTTTAGTTGGCCCAATGAATAGTTAATTAAAGTGGAACTGCCTCAATTGGCAAGACTGAGGGAAGCTCCCTGTTCAGATCCCAGCTCCTCCTCAGGCAGAGGGGGGAATCGAACTAGGGTTGCTAGCATTCCAGTAGCAGACCCTAACCACCATGCTAGAGAGGGCTGCTCATGTTTGAGTCTTGCTTGGGCCCAGTTAATAGTGAATTAAAGTGGAACAACTTCAATAGGAAAGACTGAGGGTGCTCCCTGTTCAGAGCCCTTCTCCTCATCAGGTAGAGAGGGAAATTGAACGAAGATTTCCTATGGTACAGGCTGTGTGTGATTCTCTTAAGGTCCCTGACTTATGTGGGGTGGGGCTATAGCATGTACTGAGCACACTTTATTCCCTGCTCAGCTCTGCATCAGTGCTGTTCATACCTCCAACTAAAACGCTGCTGGAGTGCTCCAGGTCAGAGGAAAGGGGAGGCTCTCATCACCCATGACCCCCAAATTGTACCTCAGCTGTCATGCTAGCACTCTGTCTGGCATACCAGTTCTCAAACCAGTCTGGCTCTGCATTTGCAGCTTAGAGCACTTTAAAATTAAGCACAAGTCCTTTGCCAGGAGGAGAGGAAAGCTGTATCTCAAGAACCCCTTGACCATGACCCCAAATTTTCACCACCCATGGTACCCAAAGCCTGCTACTAGCATAGTTTACCTTTAAACAGAAATGTTACTGCAGCCTCTGTGGTTTCTTGCACCTGTTGGCATTCCTTTTCTTGCTCACAGCAGCACTCCTTTGCAGAAGCACTGTGGAAGTCTAATAATGCTCAGCTTATTGGGTTTGGGACTGTGTGTTTGTCAGATCACGGGAAGGCTGGTGAGATATGGCCTATGTGAACACTGCTGATTTTCCCTGCTAGCTTTGTACCAAACAAGTGATTTGAGCCCAGCCCAATAACAAGAGTGGACTATCAGCTGTGGTGAGTCAGTAACCTAACTGCATGCTGTTATTTATAAGCCTACTCCCATTACCTACCATGTGAGCAGTTTTCAGGGCAAGGAGGTGAAACATTTAGCCATGGTCACATATCTGAGATGATCTGACAGGCTAGGAGGTAGCTATGTCTCTGCTTGTTGATGGCTTTACAAATTTATGACCATTACTTTGAATTCATGGTATGGACAGACCTGACCTAACCAGAGAGTTAATGAGGAACCAAGCACCATGCGTGCATGAGACTTTGGCCCAGCAGTTAACATCAAAAATATGTTTTATAATTAGGCACCAGGGGTCTTCTTATCTGCCTAATGTCATAGACAGAAAGACTATTCGCAGATCAGTCCATTCTGTAAATAATGACAAGATGGCATGTTACTACAGACTTTTGCTTTAACCAAAGGCAAAAAAGGGTGGGAAAATACCTAAAATCTATCACTTAGTTCCCAAGTGATAGTTGGGAGCTAAATAGTTCCCAAGCGTTCCATAACAGTACTCTTTCTGAGTACATTGTGCATTATTTAGAATTTTTCTGCCAATTTTGAGCAAAATTAGACTATGCTTTTTCAAGTTATGGCCCTTTTTGTGATTTTATAATTTTTTCAGATTGGATGACCAATAATGTTTAAACACGATGTGATATAGAAAAATGGCACCACCTACATTCACCCAGGTGATGACCACCAGATATGTACCTACCCTTTGATAGCAATGAAATTTTTCTATTACCCTAATTCATTAATAAGACACCTTTTAAAATCTGGCTGGTAGGCTATTTGAGTGAAGGAGCCTTTATTGCACATTACAGTAATGGTGGATGGGCATGAGGAGAAAACTGTCCAGCTCTATTTCTTTACCATTGAATATTTTGTTCACATTTGATCCAGCAAATCCTTATGAGCAGAATTTTATCATTTTTACTAGAGGGTTGCATGTATAGGCCCAGCAGGAGGAGCGAGAACACAGTTTTTATCCTTGAACCTCTAGCAATTTTACAGGATACTGCCACTTCTGTTCCATTGTTAAGGTGCTCCTCTTCTCATTTTGCATGTGGCCTGTTACTTACAAGGAGAAGCATTTATTGTAGAGTTTCATAATGTTTCTGTTCCTTTTCAGATTGCTGACCCTGCAAACTGTGACCAAATGTATGAAAGTTTAGTCAGAATCCACACCAATTTCTATAAAAACAAGGTGAGCTCTTCAGGCCAGGGACCACGTGTTTGTACAGCACGCTGGGGCCACAAATCGAATAGGGGTTTTTGGGTGCTCCTATAATAAACGTGCTGTCCGGCACCTTCGCTGTGAAAAACAAAGCTGAACTCATTTTGAGCAGCTCAAGCCTTTGAAAAGTTCAGTCATTTCAGAAGCAGCTCCCACCTTGTCTAAACTGATTTGTGTTTGAGCTTTCCTGGAGAGGAGCCGAAAGGCCACAGGGTGGCACTATGCCTCTTGCCATTGCTAGTATTTCAACAGGAATGTTGTGCTTAGGATTTAGCAGATGGATAAGCAAAGCACTGGCTTGGGGAGGGAGCAGAGAAAGAGTTCGGTTGAGTCAGTAAATTCTTGTTTTGTTTTGTTTGGGAAGTATCCACGCCTAAAAGATACAAGCTTCACTGGAGTCACAGTGGAAGAATGCAAGCTGATCCTAGCAACAGGTAACGAGGCCAATGAGGTTCTGTTTGATTAGTCTGTGATTACTCTTCCCCCACTCAGGCTTACAGGAGTAGCTTGCATTGCCGTTACCTGGTCCCAGGGATAAACAGAATTTCACTCCTCAGGGCCCTTGGTGTGGCACTTCTTGAAAGCAATACCTTCCCATTAAAGAAAAAAAATACAACACTTATGATTTCAGTTCTCTATATCACCTAGTTTTGGGGAGTCCGGGTGGGTAGTATTGTTAAGTGAAAAGTACTACTACTGTGCCCATGGCTAGAAAACCTCAGGGGACCTCCATACAAATATGGAGAAGTAACAGGGTTTATCAACCCCTGGGTTTGCTGCACTGATATTGTCTGTTCAGGTCATACTTAAGGTTCAGGAGCAGGGCTGCGGGGAAGAAACTTACTCTATGCCTGCCACACCATATGTATTAAAAGTGCAAAAAATTCAACAAGTTTGTTTCAGTAGTTCTCAGCTGTCTTCTCAAAGGTTTAATTTTGCTCTTTACATCTTCCCTAATAGCAGCAAGCCTTTTAGAGAAAAACGAGTGCTGCTATGCACAACTACACTTGGCCAGCGTATTTATCAGGTGCAGTTGCAGTTTTGCTCTGCTCAGGTTCCTGACTTTTACTGCCGCGTGTGGAAACTGACTATTTGTTGTTGGGCAGGGCAAGGATTGCCCCTGTGTTTGTTTGGATGAGAAAATAAACTTGCCTCCAGGCACTGAAATACAAACTCATTAGATTGAAGTTTGGAGAAGTCAGTTAAACAGATATCTTATCCGCTTTTCTGCCTTCCCTCTTCTTCCCCCAATTGCAGACAGCGGGAAACAGATGGAGGAAATGAGAAAAGGTAAATGGAAAAAACTGCGAGAGAAGTTCTCTGCCAAGAATGTTGAAGAGGACTCAAAGTTATAACCTCTCTCCCCAGCCCCCCCCCCCCGCCCCATACATATTCCTAAAGCACTGTATATTGCCATGATGAATAAAGCCAATCATTCCTCTTAACAATAGCATTCAGAACTATGCCTGAGGGCTCTCCCTTTTGTTGTTCTAAAATCTGGGACTGAACGAGTATACTGATTGTGTGGGACAGTGTGTTTATATGGAAAATGAGACACTGAGATGAGAGAGTCAGGGGCAGGGTAGATGTGCCTGTTAGGATGATTATAATCTTAACACAGGCACTAAAGTCTTGTTATGGTGGTCCTCTTCGGACTAGGTATTCACAAATTCTTGTGTGCGCTTGTCATTCTCTTGCACATCCTGTGGTTTAAGAATGGATGTTACTTCTCAGTGTCATTGATCCAAGTTCAAAATCTGATCACTCCATCTACTGAGGCCTATTTGCAATCTTCCTTAAAAGCTACTGCATACTTCAGTAGCAGCATCAGTGTCTGTTCCTGGGAGCCAGAGGACTGCTCCGTGTTGGTGCAGTGCCTTGGAGGGGGAAGAACTAATGGCCTCTTGCTGTTACGCATTTGAACAGTTTTCCCCTAGCATGAACTGAAACCTGCAGCAGACAAGCTGTGGTGTTTATGGTAGTTCTGCAATAAGAGATCTTTGTATTTCAGTCATCACCATCTTCTGAACTGAGTTTCCTCTGGGATGGGGACCTGTATTCACACAGCACCCTGCCTAATCAGGATCGAGGCCTCTGGATGCTATTATTAATTCATAACAGAGTGTTGAGAAGAGGTTCTTTGACCTCATTTCAGCTTTTACTATGACTTAATTTTGTGTTAACTTAGTTAAGGCAATTTACATATTAGTTAAGTAACAACAAAATAAAAAGTTTGTAAAACATTACATCAGAGATGAAAATAAACACAGAATACCTCTTCACAGTGAACTGCTGTAAACCTGCCGTTTCCCACTACTGCGCAAATAAAGTCTGTCCATGGAAGATAAAAGACTATGTCATACTTGCAACAGCTTTGCTGTTACTCATCAGATGCAATGTACTATCAATACATCTCGTTGAGTTTACTGCGCCGCAGCGATAGATGGGATTCTTAAAATGGAGGAAAATCAGCATTGTGAGGTACAGTGAACGATGTCTGGCTTGCAAAGTTCCACATCTACTACGGACTTTGGAATAAGTTAAATATTGCAACTCTAATTGCTAATAACAATATTAATGCTATTGCCTCTGGAAGGGGGTAGCCACCAAAATGTAGTGCATGGAGATGAAGAAAGATAATTCATGTTAAAGAACAAAAAGTTATTGCAATGAGGAACCAAAGTCCAAAATAATTTACCTTCCTTTGAGGGCATTGGGATAAATTGCAGGTCCAGGTACAGTGGGGAAATCTGGTAAGTTAGTGGTTCCTGGCGGTTGCTGGGCAAAATGTTTGCAGAGATGTAATGGAGAAGGCTGGCGTTGAAACCTTACAGCCGTAACCTAGGCTTTTGTCCAGCTTCTGAAGATGTGATCGATGCGCAGATGCCAGTGAAAACATCCTTGTTAGCCGATAACATGGACTTAGTTGGTTGGCAAAGCTGATGCTTTGTGTGTGCCTCAGTGATTCATGGTGTTCTGGGCATCCACAAAACCGATGCGCTGTCTGCGCTTCCTTTGCTCTGTCATCTAGCGTTAAAATAAGGACACAATGTAGTCAGGAAGACTGTTCTTGTTCCTTTTCCCCCTTTAGCCACACGAAGAGACCCATCCTTTATGCTGGGGTCAAACATACACCTTCCAGGGATGCTGCTAAGCAGGTGGCAAAGAAAGCCCTACCCTGGACTGCATCCTGGGTTATGGAACAGCCTCCATATGAGGAGAGATTAAAAAGACTAGGATGTTCATCTCAGAAAAGAGACGACTAAGGGGGAATATGATGGAGGTCTATAAAATCATGAATGATGTGGAGAAAGTATATAAGGAAGTGTTATTTAACCTTTCACATAACACAAGAACCAGGGGTCACCCACTGAAATTAACAGGCAGCATGTTTAAAACAAACAAAGGAAGTATTTCTTCACTCAACCTGTGGAATTTGTTTCCAGGGGATGTTGTGAAGGCCAAAGGTATAACTGGGTTCAGAAATAATTAGCTAAGTTCATGGAGGATAGGTCCATCGAAACCCCATGCTTTGGGTGCCCCAAAATCTCTGTTGGCTGGATCGCTCAAAATTGCCCTGTTCTGTTCAGTCCATCTGAAGTATCTGGGACAGGATACTGGGCTAGATGGAGCCAGTAGGGCTGTTCTTATGGAGATAATATGATGAGAGACCAAGGCAAGAGAGTTGTGCTTTAAGGTGTAGTTTTCCTGACAGAGGGGGAGTCTAGCAGTGTCCTCATGCAGCTGGTGAGGAATTCAGCTATTAAGGGAAACTCCTGGGCCAAGTGCCCCTGACTCAGTGAGTTGCTAAAACCTTTTCTTTCCCTTCCCTAGCTGTGCAGATTATGGAAGTCTGCCTGAGGCTGCATCCATTGATTCTGACTCGGGCCATCTTTGGATGCTACCCTAGCCAGAATATGACCCTAGAAACGTGTTTCAGTCACTCTGGATCCTGCTCTACTGCTTGGGATTTGTGCTTTGCCATTAAGCCATCCCCATTCTGAAGCATCCCTGTTTAAACTATAATACCTGCTCTTTCAGCTCATTCAGCTGTGAAGTGAGGTGAGACACCAGCTTCATAGTGGAGTTGAGCTTGTCTTGAAGACTCCGGATCTCGTTCTGTTCCCCTTCCCCTTCATTGCTGACCAACGACATGGCTCGCATCCGAGGAAACCAGTCCAGGTTCTTGTTCTGAATGATGAGAACTTCAGGTTGGTGGGGTGGGGGTGGGGGAGCCTGATTTGAGCATACGTGCTAATTCACAAGAACTGGGTAATTGGCCCTATAAACCCTGTCTGTGCTAAGGGCTCCCCAGTACCTTTAAGGGTTTTCATTAATAGCCCATTAATTTTCCCAGTTTCTTTTTGTAGACTTCCAGGCACAAAGCAATCCCGTAAGTTTGACTGTAGGACGTTCAAAGGTTTTCCTATACCTTCCTCCCCCAACCTTTGTCACTGCCTTGAGTTCATGATAACTAGGTTGCTCCCGGTTCTGCTTTTCATTAAGTCCTGGCTTCTCTGAATATCTGGTAGTTGAATATAAAATAGCCAACAGATGATGCCTGGTTAGCTGGGCCCAACTTGGAAATAACCATACAAGGAAGAAGTGAGAGGCTTTTACAAAATTTAAAAAAATAATTCCAAGTGTTCCTTTGAAAACAAGTTTTCTCAACAAGTTATTGTTTAAAATTATTTCCTTGGGGGAGACACGTTCTCACTGTATGTGACACTCTGTCTTAGGCAACACTCACCTTGATCATTTGTGCCACGTAACTCTCGGGCCCTGTGTAGTCAGTCTTATTCTTTACTCGCACCAGCACGATGAAGTACAGGTAGTTCCACATGTTGTGCTCATATTTAATGTGCTCCTCGAAGGACACAGTCTTATTATCGAACTTGTCCCTTTCGAGACCTGGGAGAGGCAGTGGAGAAAAAAGGAATTGAAAAAAAAAAACCCACCAAAAACAAGCGTAAAAGGAAGAACAGATAATTGCGTCCTATCCCAGGTGTGAATTTCAAAGTGCGCTTTTAATAATTAGGCGGTGTTTAACATACAATAAGCATCCCAACTTATATTAGACAAATTACCTAGCTGTGTATTTAGAACACATCTGTTTAAAGTGCTACTGAATACATTTCCTATATACCAAATCTAAACTTCTAGCATAAAAACCACACAGTGGATCTCTCTTAAAAGTGATCTGCAAAGAAGGAAGAATTGGGTTGGTGTTGTGCTTGTTTTTTTATTATTTACATTTTGATTCCCCCTCCTCCCAAAATAAGGGGAATGCTTGCTTCCTTTTTTTGTTTTGCTTTTTGATGCACAAATGTGGCCTGAGAAGGTTTTTTTTCCCCCTTCATGTTTTTTCTTAGTAATATCAGGCAAGTCAATTATGTTTTCTCCCTCTCCCCTTTTTTTGGGAGGATTTCTTGGATTACTCAGATGAGGACTGAGAGCTTTCTCAGCTCAGAAGTTAAGGGTTTGGAGAAGTGACAAACCCTTCACAAAGAACACATTACTCTAGAGTGTTTTAGTTAATGCTTATTTAACCAAAAGCAACAGTTTGAATTACAAAAATCATTTCCTCTCTCAACTAATGAGGTTCATTTCATTTCTTTTATTTAAGCTGCTAGTTCTTCAGTGATCCATGGAGTCTTCTAGGATAAACAAGACCCAAATTTCTAACACAAACGTGAAAAAATAAATCAAGTCTTCTTTACACATAATAAAGAAGCATAAAAAGGACAACTCCCATTTTTCCCCTCTTCACACTCTTAAAATAAACAGCTGCTACTGGAATACACAAGTTAAGGGCTCAGTCCTGTGAGGATCTTGGCTGGGGTGTGCATGCGTTCATGTGATGTTCTTTGCCCTGGCACTCACCACATATGAAACATGTGGTCTTAAGAATTTCTTCCTTCTTTTGCTTCTCACTCCTCAGATCAGCAAAGGTGTCTATGATGACACCAAAGATAAGGTTGAGGACAATGATGATGACAATGAAGAAGAAGAGGAGGTCGTAGATAACCCGAGCAGGGAACAAGGACTCCTGCAAAGGACAGAAGGAAAATAGCCATAAACAAAACATGGTACTTCTCCCTTCCAGCCCTGTGCTCTAATAGTCATTAGATCATGCTGCTTCCTTACAATGGCCGGAGAAATGGCTTAAGGCCAAGGTAGGTGGAGGTTAATTGAGGAGCTAAGATCTAAATTCCACGTCATGAAAGAAATTTGGAGTATTGATGATAGGAATGGTGGCATGGAAAGAGGCATAAGCATAGAGGATGGAAGAGATAATTGCGTAAGGTGTGTAATGAAGGAAAGATGAGAAATTAGTTAGAGGGGTAAGTCAGCGTGTAAATGGAGAGATGAGTGGGGCGGGGGATAGGTCTGGCAGTGTCAGAAGCATGTACAGGGATGAGGGAGGGAGACATACATATAGCCGTGAACGTGACAGGTCTCTGCAGAAGAAAAGGGAATTGGCCCAGAGTGCCGTGTTAACTCACATCCTTGGATGGCTTCCTGAGAATGTCACCCACGCCCCCTCCGTTCCTCAGGCCGTGATTCAGGACAGTGACAATGCACATGAGCAGCGTGTCGCAGGCACGCTCTGAGTTATCCTCATCATCATCTGGAACACAAGCATAAACCAGTCAGGAGAGAGCAGATAAAGAGATCAGCCCACTGGAGGGAGCCAAGCAGTACAGAGAAGCCTTAGGTCACTGGCTCTGGAGTCTCTCTAATGGCTTTTCTTTCCTCCTTTTACTTTTATCTCCTGGAAGCAGGTGGTCACGGTATATACCAGAGCCAGCAGCAGAACGTGCCCAGAGAAAATCTGACTGGCTAACAATGTTCCAGCAACTGTGTTTTGCACACTAGTTAGCTGGAGGGGTCTCTCCTTGGAGAATATTTTGCTGCAACATGAGGAGATGGTTATTCCCTCTTCGTCCAGCGGAAGAGAGCTAGAACTTGGTGAGCATCTTGATGCTATGATATTAACTTGTAACTTGGAAGGGTCGAGCAGAACCAGCCTGTCCGCTCTGATGACTCGAGCTCCCTCTGAAATCCCTACTTTCCCATGCTGCTCCATGCAACCCTTGTTAGGCTGGGGCCACCTTCACTCTGAAGGGACATGGCTTACCTACTTGTTAGATAGTGGGCTGCTTCTAAGTGACTCTGTTAAAGGGGCTGGATTTTGCCTGGCTGACTGCCAAATGAGAGGGGACCACCTCGCCCTATGTCCTGATTTCCACCACCTCTGTATTAATTCAGTGGGATTCCTACCTAGGAGCACAGGCTGGGAAGGTGGGAAGTCTCTCTCCTCTATCTTAAATGCTTCTACCAGGGTAAGATATTTACCTCTCAGCACACCAGGCACTGCAGAGCAGCTAATTTTGTCACCACTGCACGACTCCATAAAAGCCTCCATGTTCCTTTGCATCCCCAAGGGGCCGTCTGGAACACAAGAGACTGTGTCATCGCCAGAGTACCACTTATTTTTCCTCTTATTGGGGCCCCTCCTTCACTGCCCCCTAGCTGCAGCTTGAAAGGCTATTTGGGAAAGGTTCTTTTGGGTTCCTTCTCCTCATCGTTCACCGTTCCCACTGATCCCTCCCAAACTTCAGTCGTAGAGCTTCCATCACCGACACACTGTCAGCGCTGAGCCCTGCTGGCAACGAGAATGGGACTGTCTAGCTGCACATTCTGAGCCCAGACTTCCACTGAGCCTGTGAATGGATGTCCTGGGGTCTTTTCAGCCCTGCTCAGTTTTCAAACGCGGGGGCCTTTAGAGGACAGCTACAGTCCTGAAACTTCCATTGCATCTGCCCAGAACCAGTACCACATTCCCTTTTACCCCCAAACTCCTGGTTCCTCTGCCCAGAGATTGCAGTGCTGGGTCCCTGAAGTCTCTGGGAGTTGCTTTATTCTCTACCACCCAGAAGCTCAGCGGGACCAGGATTTTGACCCTTAACACACTACGTCTCACATCTCCTTTGCGAAAGAGGTATTATTTCCCTCATTTTACAGATGGGGAAACTGAGGGACAGCATGGTAAGTGACTTGTGTGCAACGTCCCGCAGGGAGTCAATGGCAGAATCTGGAAGAGAACCCAGTGCTACCTATCCCCTGCTCTGCCCACCGCACCACAACCCACACTTGCTGCGTGGCAGGGCAAGGTGGAGAGACCTTTGGACTTGTTGTCAGGCAGCCGATCCACCTCCATGATGAAGTCGTCTTTCAGGAAGAGGAAACCCACAATGGAGAAGAGGTAGACGAGGATGAGAGCCAGGAGGGCGGTCAGCAGGATGGAGCGTCCGTTCCGCGTCACGCTTTTGATGACATTGAACAAGGTCTCCTCACGGTAGATCAAGTCAAAGAGCTGAAATGGACAAAGCATGCCCATGTGGAGTTTAATTAGCCAGGGCAGAAATGCAGCAGCGGGCTTTTTGTGATAACATCTGGCCTTTCTATAGCACCTTGTAGCCTAGGATCTCAGAGTACTCGACAAATGCTAACTAAATTTCACAGGGGGCATTCAGTACCATCCCCATTTTACTGGTGAGTAGACCGAGAACAAAGAGGTAAAAACCTAACCCCTCCTGAAATCAATGGGAGTTGTGTTCCTAAATACCTTTGAGGATCTGGGCAGAAGTGACTTGTACACAACAGTCAGTCCAGAAATAGAACCCAGGAGTCCCGACTTGCAATCTCTTGCTCTAACCAGTAGATCACATTGCCTCCTAGCTGACCCAGATCAAAGGTAGATGATAGAAAGAGACGCAGATACAATACATACACGCAAAAAGCAGAAAGGCTGACCCACACAAACAACACTGGACAGGAATCTTTCAGTTCCGCACTGGGCATGGCTGTGCCATGTACATTTCCCTAACAACTGCGTTTACCGTACCAAGATGCTGTAGAAGAGTTCATGTACAAAAAGCCCCAGAATGCTGGTCACAATATAGGCCACATGGTAGAGAAACTCCATATCCATGATCATGGCTTTGTAGCCCCGGATAAATGTCCCACGGTTGCCCACAAAGCTCACCACGAACACAATCTTGTTGGTCAGCTAGGGAACAATCACAAGGAAGCAGGGTGGGTGAGAGCTGTATATTAATACAGTTTGCCTTTGTGAACTCAATATACAATGATGGTCGAGCGTGAATGCTCTCCCAGTTACAGCGCTGTAAATCCACTGACTTCAATGAGTGCAGGATTCAGCCCAGATACCTACAGGTACATTTCCAGTGGCCACTGATTTTCATTGCTGGGAGCCCAACTCGACACAGATTGAGCCTGGGTTTAGGGGTGCTGCACTAACCTTCCCCAGGTCACTTACATTGAGAGTTCCCAGGATGTTCAGCGTGAGCCCAATCCCTAAATAATAGATCGATCGCAGGATCAATGCCACGAGGAGCGGTCTGATGCCGTAGCGCCGGGTAAACAGGGCCATGATGGAGAAGCAGATCAGAAACCAGAAGAGCAAGGAGATCAATGGGGAATCCAACACTCCTGGGAAGAAAAGGGACACCATAGTTAAAGGGCATGGAAATCAAACACATATGATCAACTGGTCATACTTGATCTGTGTCAATCCATAGCAAACATCTGAGAGGAATTGTCCCTCAAAACTAAAGAGCCAGTCATCGAAAGAAAAAGAAAAGGTACAACAAGTAACACAAAATAAGATGGTCCTTAATATTCATTATATGTATTATTTTATTATTAACACATTAAATGCTTTTCTAGCACCTTTCATCTGAGATCTCAGAGCTCTTTAAAAACACCAATAAATGAAGCTTCATAATATAAGAGGTATCTCATTATTATCCCCATTTTATAAACTGGGAGACAAGCACAGAGAGACGTGAGTTTCTCAGGGACGCAGAACAAGTTAGTGGCAGAGTCAAGAATAGAATCCAGGAGTCCTGGCTCTCAGTCCCCTGCTCTCAGTCTTAGACCACACTCCCTTCCTCTCAGGGTATGTCCACGCTGCGGCAGCGAGTCTCAGGGCTTGGGTCTACAGAAGCGTGCTACGGGGCTACACACAGCAGTGTGGACGTCACGGCTCAGACAGGATGCAGGCTCTGCGGCCCACCCCCTACCCGGGCTTTGGAGCCTGAATGTTGTTTTTTATGCCATAGCATGAGCCCAAGTCTCTGAGACTCAGGCTCGGAGACCCAGGCTCCGAGACTCACAGCTGCAGGCTTTAAAAAGCAGCGAGCTTTAGAGGGTGAAGAGGAAATTGGTTTTAGGAAATAGAGGAAGATACTGAGTAGCTTTGGCAGGGAATGGGGCTGGTGAGACTGTATCTGCCAAGGGGTCAGTGTGTGTCAGTTCTCTCTTTGGACGAGGACACACTTTCCCTTGGTTTCTAAGAACAGAAGTGGATGGAGCGCTTACCCATAGAGGTGGCTTCGACGTAGGGGTAGAAGAAAGCAATGATGATGTTGATGAAGACAGCCAGGTTGAAGGAAATGCTTCCCCAGAGAGTCATTCTGCGGGAGAACCAGTACATCAGTGGCATGCCTAGGAAGAGGAAGGTAGGAGGTGACACACTGCGCAGTAAATCTCAGCTGATCATGTGTGACTTGGATATGGATTGTAACTTCTTCCAGAGACTTAACATGCTCAGTTCAACACATGCTCTGTGGGACTGACCTCCCATTTCCTCCACCCAGTAGCAAAAGTCCCCAGCATCGGGCTGAAATGGGACGGTGAATTCAGAATGTTACTGCTCACATTTCGTGGCTCTTCAGACCTTTGACCCACTCTGGTATTTGAAAATCAGCTCCAGCGTTACACCCCTCTTGTCTCTCTCTCATTACTTCCTACATCCTGGCCATTTGTGTGTTTCAAAAAACGGTGCCTCTGTTCTCTTGGCATTACTTCTCCGTCCCATAGGAGTTCCCGACAGCCTGCACTGCCAGCCATTTCCTATCCCAACTCGAAACTTGCTTCCTGTCTCATCGCTAACAGAATTCTGTTTTGGTTTTGCAAGTGTTTTCACTGCTACTATAATACATCTTCGCTGCTTACTGGCATTTATATGTTATCTCCTCATGATTCATGAATAAAAGCAACCTGATAAGTGCGAGGCCAACCTTTAAAATGGATAAGCACCCAAGTGTTTGGATGCTGATCTGAACTGTATCCAAACTCTCAAGTTTACAAAAGTGAGCTGGAAACCTCACAAGAGACCAGTTGCCTTCTATTTAATTGCTCTCTGGAAAGGAGATTTCCAGCGGGAGGCTTCCCGAAGGCAACTTCTCTAATAGTTCCACACTGAACTGTTTCAACCCTCAAGGATTCAAGTGTTGAACGAAGGCATGGTTCAGTTCTGATTTGGTTCAAGCTGATTCATCCACCCCAGGTTTGGATATGTGTGCAGGGTGTGTCTGTCTTTCATACCTCGGCATCCATTTATCCATGCATCTATGTAGGCATGTCTGATGTGCCATGAGCTGCAGCCTCCGTTACCAAGGAAAGCCTTGTGTGATGAAATAGGTCTTACAGCCCGCCATGTGACAACGCTTGGCCATATCCTGACCCCCAGAGGTAGGGACTTTCACAGCTGCGTGCTCCACCTTTGTACCCTCAGCTCCATCAGCCACAGTGTCCCCACTCATCACAGTTGTCTCAGTGGGTCACAGGGAGTGAGAGGGTTTCTCAGAAAGCTAGGTCTAAGTCCATTCAAGGATTTCAGGATTAGGACCAAGACATGGATCTGGAAGCCGAGAGGGAGCCAAATATCGAGTGCCCTGACAACCGTTAAACAGTAACAGCAGCTTTGGCCAGCGCGTTTGAGTTCATCTGATCCCAAATGCCCATTCAGCCACTTAATAAGAAGGCAAGATGTTTGCCGCTTTGTATCCCCTTCTTCCTTGTGAATCTGCGCAGGGAATTGCCAGCTCTACACTCCCTGTCTCCTTTAAGCCCATATTTTTAAAACTGGTGCCTGCCTTCGGGTGTCCAGCCTGAGACACCCAGAGCCCGATTTTCAGAGGTGCTGAGCACCCACTGCGCCAACTGCCTTGAATTGCCTCTATGGGTATTTAACACCTCTGCACATCAGGGCTGGGTATCTGAGGCTTGGTACCCTAAAACAGAGGTACCCAAGCTTAGCGGCTACTTCTGAAAACAAGGTGTCATTACATCCCTTGGCAGGGGAGTTACTTCCCTCTCTCTTCTCCACTCTGTATCGTTTTCTCTGCTTTATGTTGTTTGCTGAATATATTACAATACCCTATTTGGTTTGGGCCACATAGGAACTCCACTAATGAATCTCCCCCTGGTTTTGCATCTAGAAGTACGTAGCCTAGAGGGGGGCCTGCATTTTTTATTTGCTTCCAGTTGCCACATTCAAAGTCAACAAGGGATCGGGAAGCTACAAATGTGGAAAGTCTGAGGGACATATTGTCAGTGGAAGAGTTCAGGGCACTGCACGCAGCCAGGGGCATGGGATGCTGGGGGAGCTTTTTTGCAAGCCACCGTCTGGTGCTCATGGCTGTTTTAGAGCATTGCCATTCTCAGGGGAGCTCCAGTTTGCCCTTACTGCGCAGTTTCTTCTGCCATTCCATCTCGTTGTGGAGGAAGGACGACTGGTCGAAGAAGTCGCTGACTTTGCTGCCCTGCTCGTCTTGTTCCGTGGTGGTGAACAGCCGGTACTTGGTCTCCCTGGTGACGAATTCGCAGATGCTGGGCACGGGGAAGATGATCTGCTCCATGCTCCGGTCCAGGCGCACAATCTGCATAGAGCAGGCAAAGAAACCGGGGTGCTCTTAGTCCCCCATCTGCACCACACTTATTTGCTCTGCCACGTAACCAGGAACCAGCCCCACACCAGCTCAGGGAAGGATCTATAAACTGCAACTCATTCTAAACCACGCCCACAGCTTGATCCAGCACACACATCCCTGACCAGCACAAGGCTCCTGCGGTGGGAATCCTTGCTAGCACCGAGGACACGTGCTGCGGGAGACACAACAAACAAGAAGGGCAGTAGGAAAAAGATATTTGGGCACCGCTAAGTTGATCTACCTTTAAGTACTAGCCTGTATCTCCGGGACACGACAACGATGAGGCTTGTCTATGAACTGCAGACACAGGGAGGTTTAGCCCCATGACCTAAATTAGCCAGCCATTAGTCCATGAAACGGAAATCTACCAGGACAACAACAAGTCCTACCTCAATCTGGGAGGTGTGCTTCTCGTAATACGCCAGCGGGTCTTCTTCCTCCTCCTGGATGGGAGCCGTTGATTTCAGCATCTGAGTCAGCTGCTTATTGTTTAAGCTGAGCTGGAGTAGAGGGGAGAATAAGGCAGGTGTCTTCAGCTGGCAAAGGCAGGAGGGATTCTGTTCTAACTGGGCATTAACAATGGTTCCTCACCATTTACCGAAAGCAAATCAAGGAAAGCTTTATAAAGGGCCCCAGCGGCTCTCCCCAGCCTCCCAGGGATGGCAATTCAACTCACTACCATAATTACCTCCCAAATGGGCTAATCCCCAAATTGCAAATCAATGCCCATAACGCCCGAGGGAAATCGCATTACAGTGGAGTAGCATTTGGGAGAGGAGACCAGGCCACACAAAGCAGGAAAATGACAGCGAAAGGATCAACCCTCCTACCTCTAGGAGGAGAGGCAAGGTGGGAACTGACACCACCAGGGAAGCTTAACCCCCATCAGCACTAATAGGAGCAGACCTTCTCCATGGCAACACGGGAACATATACCCTGAAGAACAGAACCAGCCACCCGTGAGCTCTACAGAGCTCTCCTTTCATATTACCCCAACGAGCTGGGTGATAATTGCAGAACATGTAGTTGTGGCTCAAACCCCATGCAAACCCCCCGGGAGGCGTGAATTTTGTATCTCCACAGGAATCTCTAAAAAGATCAAGGCTTAAATGATGGAAAGCAGAGCAGCTAAGAAACCTCTGCTTAACCAGGCCTGGGGAAGTTTCTTAGCAACCCACTGCCACTGGGGAGATCCTGCATTCACTCCATGGATCTCTCATACCATAGAGGAGATGCCCTCCACCTCCTCCTCCTGGATTCGCTTCACTGGCTTTAGGAGATGCTGCAGTTGCTTGTTGTGCCGAGACAGCTGCAAAGAGAGAGAGGGACAGTGAGGAAGGAATAGGAGCATGAGACAGAGGTGACAGGGCAGAATGTACTGTGAACATGTGACGATCCTTTGCTAGATGTGTAAAAGCCATGGAAGGATGAGGCATACACGTGCCAAGTCCTGATCCAACTAGAGCCAATGAAAGTTTTGCCGTTGACTTCTCTTGGATCAGGATTTAGCCCTTAGATATATGAAGAAAGAACAGCATCTGCAGTGACACTAGCTAGCATAAAACAAGGGATGTCAATCCCCATTCTTCAGGGAATAAGCTGGCCACCATACTGGGTCAGGAAGGATTTCAGCCCTTTGGTAATGTACGATTGCCCAATTGGTGTGGAGGAGGTTCTGCCTTCTGCTAACACACCGAGGCTCGGTCACTGCTAGAGAGGAACCATTGCTCTGTCCGAGGACAGCACTGCTCATATGCCTAGGGCAACAGGACTTGTTGGGACATAAACAGAATAGTGGATCATGGGGCCCAAATTTACCATTGGCACAAGTGGGTGAAACTTGATTGAAGTCCATGGTGCGGGGCAAGCTTATATGAGCAGCGACGTTAACCTGTGATGGGCCAGCACAGACATATCTAGCTCTGAATGAAAGGAACCCTCCAAGGTGTCAGGGACCAAGCAAAGGTGTGGGTCAGGACTCAAAGAGCCCACTTTCTTTTCCGAGGCCACAAGCAAGTCTTCTACTTATGGATCCAGACTGGAACTTCACGGGTATCCCAGCAGAGCGGGGTCTTCCTAGGTTTGACTTGAGAAAGTATTTAAATAAATAGGGGGGGAACCTGGAAAGACTATCCCATGCTAACCAATGAACAAAGGCCACCATACCATGGGATGGAGGAGCTGGGGGAAGCCAGTCTTAGAAAGGAGAGGCTTCTGCAGACGGGCACCTATGGTAGAAAAACAGCCGAAGAGATGGTACCTGTAAGGCCAAGATATAGATGTTGTGCCCGACTTCCCGGGGGGAAATCTCAGAGTTCTCGCACTCTTCCTCCTGGAGATAGGCTTTTTTAATTACATCAACCTGTAAAGGCAACCATGGGAGCAAGTCAGTTGTGCACTTCGCCAGCCAGAAACGTGGCTAAAGTTTTGCACTGCCCTGGGGACGTTTGAAGCGATAATATTTTGTTTCTCTTCCCTGTCCCATTTTTTTTTCCCCGTAACCAAGGAAGGCTCCATGGACTACCACCAAAGAGGTGTGTGCATGTAACTAGCGTCAGTTGTGGGAGTGGAGGTGTGATGCAGACAACTATCCACTGAGGAAGGAGGGATTAGTGATAGAGGCTTGGGAGACCTGGGTTCAGTTCCCTGCTCTGCCACAGACTCCCTGTGTGACCTTGGGCAAGTCACTTAATCGTGCCGTGCCTCAGTTTCCCAACCTGTACAATGGAGATAACAACAGTGCCCTACCTCACCGGCGGGGGGGCTGGGAGGATAAATACACTAAAGATTGTGAGGTGCTCAGGCAGTATGGTAATAGAGGCCAGATAAACTACCTTTGTTAGACAGTACTGCAGTGAGACCAGCTGTACCTCGATTCCACACACAACCACATGGCACAACCTCTCAGCCCTGACCCGAGAAAGTCAAGAGCAAGGGTGAGAAGGATGGGGAGGGAGAGCCACCTTGGCTCAAAGGCTCCCTGGAATTTTAGGTCTGTCCCAATGATTCAGACCTCTGTCCCTTCCCTTCCCCCATTTCTCTAACATGCAAAGTCCTGCATGTCTCCCAAAGGCAGTTATGCCCAGGCCAAGAGCATCCCTCCCTGCTTGCCCACCCTTACCAGTTCCTGAGGCCGAAGGCTGATGAGGATCCGCTCGGCATTCTCGCTGTCATGTCTGCTCTCCATCAAGGCCAGCAGGAGTTTGGAGGCATTGTCCTGGTGAAGAGACACCCACTTAGGTAAGCCAGGGTGTCACAGGCACCCTCTACCTCTGCCTGAGGCCCGTAAACATGCCACGCCATGCAGAAACATGGCCACCCATCCATAGCTCCCCTGCGCTAGAGACAAAGCCACACGCCCACCCACTCTAGAGAGGCACGTTAGGGAGCCCACCAAGCCACGCTCTGCCACAGAGCCCACCTGCTCACATATGCTGGAGAGGGACTTCCTCACCCACGCTCAGTACCCCACGCTTTTCAGGGACCACCTCCCCACACCACAGGAACCACACAAACACCGCTGCCACCACACCACCCATCCCGGATGTCCAGTGCTACACACGTTAAAGGTCCATAGACACACTACAGAGTCCTACAGACACGCTAGACTCGGATTCCAAGGCCAGAAGGAACCACTGTGGTCATCTAGTCTGACCCCCTGTATGACACTGGCCGGAGACCTTCCACTACATAAACCCTCCTCAGCACCTGCTGCCTCAGCACCTGCTGCCCCCGCACGCGCACGAGACATCCCATCCTCACACCCCCTTCCAAGCTGCCCCACTGACCTTCAGCTGGAGGACAAGGTCCATTCTGTACTTGCAGAGGGGGCTGATCTCATTCAGGATCAGGGCCGTGATGATGTCAATGCCATTAGATTCGTGTGTCACAATGCAGCTCTGGGGAGTGACACACACAGGGTTTGTCCCACCAATTCTTTTCTGCTCTCTTGACCTCAGCTTTCCCCTCTGATGTCTCAGGCTCCCCACACACTCACAGGGGCTCAGGCTTAGGGGATGAAACACCAGAGGCCCTAGGCCCCATCTACATGACCAGATCAGCTGCGTTTGACCAACGTGCTCCTAGCACAGTGGCCTAACTAGGTTATAAACACAGCAAAACTGAGGTATACATGGCTAAAAACTATCCAGACATAAAGCCTACAGCAGGTTTCAACCATGTTATTTGACCTTGTCCATACTGGCCAGCCATCGTTACAGCCTTGTTTGGCACAAGCCATGTTCACTCCCTGTTGCCTTGATGATGGCGATGGGATCTTTTTCGTAGATGCAGATAGCCAGGGTGAAAAATCGGGACAGGGGTGGGGGGCGTAACAGGCATCTGTATCAGAGAAAGCCCCGAATATCGGGATTGTCCCTATGAAATCAGGACATCTGGTCCCCTAATGCATACAGAAGGAATGATCAAGGATAGGAAGTTATTACATGCCCGGGGCAGGTCCAAGGGTGAAAGCCTCTAACACATGTTCCTTAAGAGCGAATGAAACACTAACCACCACATGCCCGTGAGAGCGACATCGACCCATTTCCAAGCATCGTTTGTGGGTACAGAGTTCCCACCTGTGCGGGAACGAGTCACATGACTACCCGGCTACGAATCCCCATCGGCCAATCACATCGCTCCTTCGTCTAAGCCCAAAGTTACAGGTGGGAGAGACACAGGATTGTCCCCTGCAGCCCATTCTTCACTGCTCTGCCCTGCCTAGTCTGAAACGACTCAAGCAACCGGGCTCCAATGCCTTCCCCCTGGGTTTCTCCTGAGAGTCAGCCTAAATGGTGCTTTCCTAATTCCATTGCATTGCTTCTAGTTGTGACTCTGAACAATTCCTTCCCTCCTGGGATATCATGGACAGCAACCAAGTTAGCCCAGCAGCACGCGTTAGTGATTGTAACCTCCGCCCACACGTCCATCCCCCCAGCGTTCACTGCTCTTCTCTGAACAGTCCCAATTCTGTACCCGCTGACACCCCAAAATCAGGGAGGCTGAATCAGCCTCAGCAGAACCGTGGCCCTATTTGTCCCCAGCCTTCTGGAAAGGATGGAGCAGGGCTCCTTCAGCAGTGTCCCGAGAGCTGCCTGGGGAACACCAGGCCATTGGTACAAAATCCCAGGCATACTGGGAACAAGCGAGCTCTACAGCAATATGCAAAGGTCTCTAGCAGAGGATCTAGCCAGCCCCTCACTCCTTGCCCTCATAGCCAACCGTGCTGTCTCTCCGTGGTGCTGGGTGTTTGGATTACCTGGTTCTCATGGCATGGTCCCTGGCAATACTCCGTCAAGGTCTCCAGGGTTTGGGTGATAAGGGCCACATTGCATTCGTTGATGTAGAGGCCCAGCAGGCCCAGCCCCCCCGTGGTGCTGCCACACATGATGTCCAGGAACTGCAGAGTCTCACACACCAGGTTGTAGTTGGTCTTATTGTTCTGGCACCGGAGGAAGTTCTGCAGAACAAACCACCAGGCTAAAACCTCCAAGAGGGCCTGCAACTCAGCAGCCCCAGTCTCTGCAGCCCCCCTTCGCGCCCTTCCTGGTCCTCTCTTCCCCAGGGAAGCCAACGGGGTGCAGGTCAGGGCAGAATTTGGTACTGTGCCCCCTACACTAATGTTTGGCAGTGGGAGTGATCAGAGCTTTAAAGAGGGCCCTGAACACGTCTAGCCCATGCCATTTAACTATATATACAGACCGTGACCAGGACTTATGACAATAATAACACACAAAGCTTATCTAGCGCTTTTCTTCTGTAGATCGCAAAGCATTTACAAAGCAGGTGAGAATCATGGGGAAATTGAGGCACAGGAAGGGGAAGAGGCTTGTCCAAAGTCACCCAGCAGGCCAGTTGCAAAGCCAGGAATAGCACCCAGGTCTCCTGAGTCCCACTGCTCTACCCAGTGAGACAAACGTCCCCCCATCACCCCTGCTTACAAACCTGGAGGTCCCGGTTGTGGTTTTCACAGAGCAACTGCAGGAACCGAAGAATAGGCTCCATGATCAAGATCGACATTCCCATCTCATTGTTCTGGCTTCGCTCCTCAGTGTCGTGGCCCTTTCGAAACCCAATGGCCATGGGGTGCCGAGATGGGGCATGGGACAGCATGAAGGTTCCTCGTCCTAAAGGGAAATCCAATCTCTATTACTGTCATACCCAGGAACTCTGGTTGCCTACCCAGAGAGAATGTACTCAAGGGGGACAAACACATCCCCTGATGGCTACTTGGATGGTGCCAGCTTGTATGCATCTTTAAGCTGGCTATCTAGAGAGCCTGCCTCTGGCTAGATCAGGACCCTACTGCTAGGCAGTGTAACCCTGCCCTAGGGTTAGCGTTCCTATGGGTAGGATACTTGGAGCCAGGATTAGGATCACACAGGTAGATATGGTCCCTGCCCCACAGAGCTGACAACTGTACCCTCCCTTCCCATTTACCCTTAGTGACAGGGTCAGGGGTGTCTTTGTCCTCCTGGGGCTTGTTCCCAATGTCAGTCATGTTCACCGACACTATGGACTTGGTCTCCTGCTGCGCCTTCTTCATGCGTTCATGCAACACTTTAAAGAACTTCTCACACTTCTTGTCGCTCGTCATCAGGCTATAAAACGATTTCTGGGCAGAGAGGGAAGGGTGGAGGAAGCAAGACAAGAAGTAAAAATGTCCACATTACGATCCGAAGTTTCCCCAGCTGCCTCTGGGATTTGTCTCTCCCACTAAGTCTGATACGGTGCCTGGAGTTTTAAAAGAGCTGGATAGTTTCACGACCTTGTATCTACAGTTATACAGCTATGGTTAGGGTGACCACTTCTCATGCTTCAGGGCACAAGCTGGTCAAGCACAGGGGTCAGGAAGAAAGTCCTGCCCCTGCCTGTAGCTTTGCATGCTATAAAAGAGTTTTCATTATCTTCTACAACATCAAAGTACTGGGCATTGAAGGAAGCAGGATACCGGACTGAACAGACCAGTAATCTGGTTGCGTAAACCCAGAACTACACTACTTTATTTTCTCATCACTCAGATGTGAATCAGGGTCGCTGACCAAGTCAAATCTCAAGGGCAGGGCCATGCACATGCAACCCCCCCTAATCAAGTCCCAGGAAATAACAGTCCTTTTGGCATACAGGGAATGGATAATTCACCTCCCCTTTCTTCCCTCTCTCATCCCACCCTCTACTACACGCTGAGCTTTAACTATCAAGGAAATCCAAAGGTAGAACCTGAAAAACACAAGCTGTAGCCAGTTCAGCATCTTGGACCCTAGACTCATCGTGGGTGGTCTCATTAGTTTGCATCCACGTTTCCTGAACAAAGGGTTCGAAAGAGCAAAGGAATATAACCCACCACTAGACTCAGAGCTGCAGCACCCTGTTATTTTAGAACTACCCGGCAGAGGGCGCTGACTACACTAGAGTCATAGGAAACTTGCACCTTTAGGTTCTCAGGATCTTTAGGCTGGAAACGTTAATCGCCAGCGATTTCTGGTGGGCCAAGGAACACAGCGTGAGCAGTCGGTCTGGTGGGATTTTATTACATCTGCCTTGGCCGGAACCACTAAGCGCAGGGATGGGCGAATATCCTAAAGACACTTTTTTCAAACTCTCAAATGCAGTATTCGCTCCAGTGAGAGTTTCAGACAAAGGTTTGCATTCACACAAACTGAACCCTCTCTCCTAAGTCATCCACGTCTGCTCTCCCCAGGGCTGGTGCACACGCTGGGAATGCTGCACTACCCCCAGACCTGTATCTCCGTGTTGCCGCCATCCAGCAGCCGGATGGCTAAGAGGATGCTCTCCTGGAAAATCTTCTCGTTTTTGGTGTTCATGATAAGGTCCGACACCAGCTTGGTGGCCCCTTCTCTGTCCAGCCGGCACTGGGTGGCAGCAATAACTGACCAGTCCTGGTCTTGGCCTACGCATGGAAGAACACGGGAGGTAAGAACTGGAGCGAGGGGCAACACTGGGGAGGCGCAGTAGTGAATTCTACAGCCAAGCTAAGGAACAGAGGGTGGACTTTGGGTCGAGGCACTGAGCTGCCAGATTCCCTGTGTGACCCTGGAAAAGGCCCTCAGTCACTCCACGCCTCAGTTTCCCCATCTGCTCACAGGGGAGAGTTATGAGTCATTAACATTTGCAAAGCCCTTTCGTACTATGGCCACAGGGTCCTACGACTCCCTAGAACGGATCAATGGAATGATGAGACTGAAAACTCCAGTTCCACAGAACCCGCGTCTATTTCCCTGTGTATGGAATTGCAGGCAAAACCCTACTTCTGGTAAGGGCTGACCTCAGGGAAGCGAGACTGATTCACACTAGCTGAAGATGTGGTCCCCTATGCTAAGGGCTTGAAATGCAGAAGCCCGAAGCCCAAGGCGTGTGGGTGAGCCTCAGAAGAGACAGGGAAGGAAGCCAGCGCGGAGGGAAGACAAAGGACACCAAGTTGCTCACCACCCCCAGTCGTGTCGACGATCTCCCCTTTGGAGCTCGACTTCTTGTTCTGCAGGTAGTTACTCACAAGCATTTTCCTCAGCGTGTTGCCCTGACGTGAGAAATAAACACCATGGGTCTGCGCTCAAGTGGCGGATGCCCGACAGCTCACAGACCAATCCCCTGCCTTAGGGGCAGTGAGATAAAGCTCCCCGGGTAGGGACAAATCTCCCAACCCCCCACCAGCTGCATAAGGTCCTGCATGTGCCACGTAAAAGGCCAGGGCGTGGGTGAAAGCCGAGTGTCTGCAAAACCCAGAGATGTGACTTCACCGACTGTAATATGGAGTCACTCCCGATTGACCCCGAGGCAAGGGAGAGGGGAAGCAAGCCTGAGAATTGTACGGAAAGGCCAGAGGGAGAAAAGAGGCACCAGGCTGGGGGGTAATGTGGGTCTCCTGACCGTGTGCCTCAGGTACTCACCCTGTCCCCATATTTGTTCCTCTTCATGAGCATCTGCTGCAGCGTCCTCAGGACCCGGATGCACAACTTCTCCTCGCTCTCCATCAGGTCCTTAGTGTGCTGGACCAGCCTGGCCAAACACAGCAAGAACCCATCAGTTCCTTCTGCACCCTGAGCCCTCCCATCCTCTTCGGAAAGGACTCCACCTCCTTCCTCCTGTGGGTTCACACACATCCCACCGCCACCCGCAGGGGAGAGCAGAGGAGGGACCGACCCCTTCCAGCTGGACGCTGGGATCAGAGGCGGCTATGAGGCTAACCCCTCCCCCACCCCCTTACTTGGAGAGGAAGCCCCCGCTCTCGCAGCGCTGGTAGGCATCGGTCCCCTCCATGAAGAGCAGCTCTGGGCGGTGCAGAACGTCCACCAGGACAGACACTTCGGCTTCCACCAGGGGTTTGAACCGTTCCTCCAGGGAGTTGATGATGTCCTGCAAACGACGACGCCATCAGGGTTGGGCCCAGGCCTCGCGTGCACCCGCAAGGCCAGACTGGGCCCACGAGGCACCGGCCTGTGCTGGGAATGGGACAGAGCTGCACCGGCTCGGGGGAACTCCTGGATGGATCAGGCCCTAAGTCTGCTGGAGCAGGTCAACTGACTGCCTCCCCGCTTCAGAGGCTGCTGCATGCAGGCTCCTCTGCAAGGAGGCGCACAGGGGGGAAGGCCACAGGGTCTGCATCCTCTCTGGCCCTCTGGAAGCGAGGGGCAGCCAGGAGAGGACAGGGACTGCACCATGCCTGGGTGCAGGCGTGGCCGGTCGTGGCGTGAAGGGAGCTGGTGGCAGGCTCAGCCGACAGGACCAGAATCAAATGGGCTGGGCCGGCTGAAGCAGAGGGAGGTCCCTGCAGCTCAGGGTGTGGGCAGGAGGCACTGCTGCTGTTCGAATCCATCGGGAGTCCTCAATACCCCCCATTTCACCTGGAGCCAGGACCACCCCCCGGAAAGGGCTCCCCCCAGCCCGCACCTGCAGCTTCTCAATGATGTTTTTGTAGTCCCACTGGTTGGGCGTGGCCAAGCCACGGGGGAAGGTCCGCGTGGCTGTCTTGTAGCTGGAAGCGCTCCTCTGCAAGGCGCTGGTGGAGCTGCTGTTCAGCAGGGAGCTGACGTGGGCATCGAGGTCCATGGGCAGGGCGATGGAGCGGCTCTTGGCTGAAAGCAGAGCAGGCTCAGACGGAGCACGGAGGGCGGTACGCCACCCCACAGCGCCAGCTCTGCGGCGGATCCAGACCCGCGCTGGCTTGGGCGGCTCCGCAGGCCAAGTGCCTGGCACGCCCGGTGCTATGAGGTTGGTCATTTCCCTAACCAGGAGCAAAGCAACCTGGGCTGTTGCTTCCCTGTGCACCCCAAACAGATCAGTTCAGTGCTCAGCGCACACCCTGCCTCCGTCTGACCCCCAGCACTGGTGTGTCCCAAACACGAATACATTTATCCCCCACCCCCCGAGAAGGAAGAGAAATAGCATTGCCCTCCTTTTCCAGAGGAGGAACTCTTAGGCACAGAGAGATTAAATAATATGTCCAAAAGTCACATCGGAAAGTTTTGGGGGTTCAATTCCCAGCCCAGAGCATTCACCACTAAACCAGCCTCTCCCCTCTGTGACCCATCGCATTTATAGCCCTCCTCAAGAGTCAGACAGCAGCTGACGGGATGAGGGTCAAAGACTTAAGGGAAACCGGCACAAGTTCCAGCTTTATTTCAGGCCCCATCAGCTGCCAGAAATACCAGGAGTCTCCTGAGACACGGTCCCCTTAGCGCCTCACCAACCATGGCCAGGGTACGGATACAGGCCTCCACCGAGGTCTTGTGCTGCTGCTGTAGCCAGGAGCACTCCAGGAGCCTCATGGTGGACTGGAGGAGCTGCACGACAATGGTCTGGTGGGTCTGCAAGAGACAGGAGGCAGGTCCTTACCTGGGGCCATGGTGTGAGCTCTTATCAGACCCATCGCTGCTGCTGGTGCTTCTTACAGGCCTCTGCTAGGGCCCATACGCAGCCTGCCTCCTCTTTCAGTTCACACTGGGGTCTCCCCACCCCCCAAGCTCTGCTCCGGGTCTGAGGGACTGCTCCAGTTTGACCAGGTTGCAGTTCACTCCCTCCAGAAACCTTAGTGAGGGTGGTACCTTAGCCATCGACACAACCCAGTCAGGGGTCTGCCCTCTGTGAGACCCCTCCGGCCCCACTGGGCGCTGCCCCTCAATACCGCCCCGAGCTCTGCTGCCTATGCCACAAACTCCACCAGCCCCAGCCCCCTTTGCCCTCCCTCGGCTTGTGTCTAAGTTTCCTCTCTGTGCACCTGGCCTGTGTCTCAGGTAGGGAAGGAAAACCCTCAGCCGGTGAAACTCAGCTGGTTTCCAGGTCTCCCAGCCCACTGCAGGGCGGGACCCCTCCCCACATCAGTGCTCCCGCCATTCTAGAGGGAGGGTCTGGCCAGACCCCTGCCACACGTGGCCACTGTAGGTTGGGGCGGGTTTGGCTCTATGATCCAGAGACTTCCATCCCCAACAGCAACAGAACCGGTGGGATCCTGATGCTGAGGGTCAGCGACTCTTGAGCCGCCTGCAGCTTCCAGGTCACAGACGGCACCTCTCCTGGCCTGGGCCACGTCAGGGGAGCTGGGGCCCTCAGCCTATTGCTGCGCTCGACTCTGGAAAGGGCCCTAGTTACCTGCAGGGAAGTGCTGTTCTCCGAGAAGGGGGAGCTGAAGAAGGCATTGATGGTGTCCAGCACCACGGTGAGCACGTACTTCTCCAGGGCGGGGTCCGTCAGACGCTTCTCTCGCTTCTTACACATCTGCAGGGAAGGAGACACCGGGTCGTTGCAGCCCGGGGGGTGGGCGCACACACTGGTACAAGTGCAACGCCGATGTGCACGCACCCAGCAGAGCTGCGAGGGCATCTCAGACACCCTGCGGGGCACGCCCTACCCAGCACCTGCCCCCTGGGCTCCCAGGGGCCAGCTGTGCCCTGGAGAAGGCTCTGTACTGCTGCGGAGTGGATGTGTCAGCCCCCCAGTCCTGATGGCACAGCCGGGACAGCACGGCGTGGAGCAGCTCCTTGTTACGCCGAACACAGGTGCCACGTAGCACTGCCCCTGACCTGCCCATCCTGCTCCCAATGCTACAGCACGCTGGGCTCTAGCTATTTCTCCAGCTCCTTGGCTGGCTCCCCTCACCATGGTATCCGGCCTCCACCGCTGTTTCTAGGTTTCTGAGAAAGCTAGTGGAGCGTCCAGCAACTTTCGTCTCCTGGTGTCCACCCTCCCAAGGGAGAGTTGTCAGTGGGAGCCTCCACCCCATTCCCCACCCCAGGATCCACTCCAGGCCCCGTCCCCCACCGTGGCCATGTCCAGGGTGAAGTTCTCGAAGAGCGTCCAGATGTGGTTGCTGGTGTAGATCTCCTTCATTTCCACCTCGGTGTCCACGTAGCAGTGGTTGACGAAGTTCACGTAGGCCATCTTCACCTGCAGGGGCAGAGGGGGATGGGCCCAGGGAGGGGAATTCAGTCCCTACACGAGGCCGTGGGAGAGCAGCAAGGCAAACACAGCCCCCAGCCTCCCTCCTGCCCTTTGAACTACGACTGCCCCCAGAGGGACCGAGGGGCACAAGAGGGGTTCAGCTCGAAGCACCGCAGCCAAATAACCACACGACCTCGGTGGCGGGAGCTCTGAGCTCCCCAGCACAAATCCCGCTTTCCGCCAGGCAAGAGGTGGGACAAACCACAAGTCAGACCCCCTTCCCCAGCCTGCCTCATCCCCCCACTCTCCCCATTCTTGGGGGTGTGTTTCTCGCTCCCTCCTCTGGTCTCTCTCCAGTGCACCCACGGCTCTGAGTTCCCGGCCCATCTCCCTGGCTCTCTGAGTTGATGCCAGTGCCCTCCCCACCCCCAGTACCTCGGTGATGCAGTCCTCATGCGTCACCACCTGCACAATGTCCTCCAGCGGCAGCAGGGATGTGCACTTGATCTCCGTGTAGACGTTCTTGCCCTCGGCACAGGCAGCCAGCAGGTCCACCAAGGAGATGTGGTACATGAGGGGGCTGTTCTCCTCCACCCCTTCCCGGGCCGCTGTCATCATCTCCAGCATGGTGGCCAGCGAGGCCTTGTCATTGTAGAAGACCACCACGTCGTCCCCGGCATTGGTGAGCTGTGGGGAAGGAGCAAAGGTCATGGATCTGTGGCGGGGGGATGGAAAAGCCTTGAAAGGCAACAGCCAGCTTCCCCCCCTTCCAAAGGGGCCACTCAGGGATTAAAGGACAGTGCATTTACAATGGAAATAGGGCATTTTCCAACACAGCGCAGAAATTCCCAACCTCTGGAACACCCCGTTGCAGGATATTTCTAAGGCAAGCAGCTTAAAAACAGTCTAGGTGTGAAGGCCAGTATTCTTAAAAACTGCCACTGGCTTTGGGAGCCCAACATGAGACATGTTAGGCCTGATTGTCAAAGGTGAAAATTCAGCTGCATGAGTCTGCCCACGCAACGGTGGGAATGGTGCAAGCAACGACTGCGAGCATGGGGGTTAGCAAGGTTTCAGATGTAGTGCGGACAGCGCCTTCTCTGGGTAGGAACAATCTCTCCTCAGGCTGGGATGAAATTAGAAGGGTTCTTGTCCTGCTTTCTACATCTCCTCCAAAGGATGCGGCTTCCAAAAGTGCAGTGCCCCCTAGCAACCAGCTGGGGCCCTGGGATCTGCACAGGCGTCCCTCCTGAGCCCCCACCCTGCTCCCCGAGACAGCCCTGCTTCTCTGACTGGGTCTGTCTATACTCCTTAACACCCCCCCCACACCCCACACACACACACACCCCCAAGGGGAGGGGGCTCTCACCTCCGTCATGATCATGTCCTGGCACTTCTTGACGTACTTGCCCTCCGCCTTGATGATGCTGTGCAGGAAGTCAAGGTACTGCACGTGGCGGCCATGCGTGGCCAGGCAGTGGACAAAGTGCTGAAGCACCGTCTCGTTAATCTCCGAGCACAGCTGGTAGTTGTTTAGGAAGATGTGCTGCATCGTCTCGGCCTCCAGGAGCTGCGGGGGGGGGGGGGGGGGGGGAACAGCACCTGCGTGAGGCTGAGGGGCTACGCAGAGCCCCCAAACACCCAGGTACACTCCCAGCTCCCCCCCCACTTGCTCTCCTTCTTGCAGGTATGCCTCTTCCCTTCTTTTGGGTCTCTCTCTCCTTTGTCCATGCTCTCCAAACACCCCTCCCTGCTCCTGGACCATTATCCTGAACCCCTAAACCCCCACCCGCTGGGCCTTCACAACCCTTAGCCAAGCAACCCCCTGACCATCCTGCAGGGTTGCGTAGAACTTTCCTCCTTCCCTGTTCTGTTGGGGGGGGGGTGTGAAGGGGTGATTTGCCACCCTCTAGCAATCTCCGTATTTATTTGTTGGCTTTTCCGTCAGCTTTGCTAGCATCTGAGCCTCCCAGATATTAGTGACTTTGCCTCACAACACCTTTGTGAGGCTGGGCCACATCCCCATCCCCATTTTACAGGTGGGGAAACTGAGGCACGGGGCGGTGAAGTGCCTTGCCCGAGGTCATACAGCAAGTGAGGGGCTGAGCCAATAATTGAAACTGGGTCTTCTAAGCCCCAGTCTAGTGCCTTTATCGCAAGGCCACTCTTGTAGAGAGCAAGCACTATCATGTGAAATGTTAGTGAACTATCCAGGACTGACCAGCGGGGTAGAGGGACCAGGGTGGCCTAGATGACCTACCAGAATCGGTCTCTTCCATCTCTATTGTCTATGAATTCCCATCTATCCCCCAGCCCACTCCTCTGGTTCCATGTTGAGCTCTCCTGAGGGGAGGCAGGGGGAGAGGCCTCCTCTCTTACCCCAGGGGTGAGGAACAAGTTGAGATGTTTGTGCAGAAGGGCCTGGTTTCCTTGGTTCCCAGCGCAGAACTTCTGTAGGAACTGGTGGGTGTATCTCAGAATCTCCAGCATCTTTGCATCACCCTGAGCAAAGGGGAAGCAGAGAAGAATGTGAGTTCTTGGAGGAGGTGTCTGAGGAATTCTACCCAGAAGACATCCTAAGCCATGAGAAGCACAAGGACGCCCCTCCCAAGATGGCATTTCCTAGGATCACATTGTGGCACATCAAAGAACAAATCAATTGGGTTCGACGGCACCGAGAAGGTTTCTGCATCCACAGCTGGGTCAAGGAAGAAATCTCACCCCCTGGACACTATTGTGCAGACAGGCGCATTGGACCCGGGCTGAGGCATGCTGCTATAGACTGCATACCGTGCTGGATGGCTCCTCGGTCCATTCCTGTCTGTCAGAACTGACGTTACGCCATAAGACCCTGACCTCTCAAGGTCCCTTCCAGTCCTACTATTAGTAATTGCTGCATACAGACCTTTCCCCACAATGCACTTTGCAAGAGTGGGTAAGAGTTTTTTATCCCCATTTTACAGAGAAGGGCACTGAGGCCTGGGCAGATGAAGTGACTTGCCCGCGGTCGTGCAGTGAGTCAGTGGCCAAGCTGAGAAGAGAACCCAGGAGTCCCAGCAGCCAGTCTGCTGCTCTAGCTACTAGACACGCTGCCTCCGGGCATCCGGTATGTAGGAAACCACTGGCAAACCCAGAGCTGCATGGACTGAACGACTGACCCCCGCGCGGAGATATCCCAGCTGCTTGAACATGCGCTGGGGCTGCTGCCTTCGACTCCCATCCAGCCCAGCCCAGCCCCGCCCTGTTTCCCACTCGCCCACCTTCTCATAGGGGATCTGCAGCAGATCCAGCATCACTTTGTGGGCGTCCATGTTCTTCATCAGGCGCTGCTGCTTCTTGCGCACCTGCTCACCCACCCCACACATTTTATTGAGCCGCTCCAGGATCTGGAGAGAGAACCCCGCCCCCAGGGCACAAGAGAAGAGGAATGAGCGTTAGAACACACACACACACGGCAGGACGCAGCCCTACGCTGGCCCCAACGAGGCGGGCTGCCAGGCATGAACAGGGCCGTCCTAATCCCTGGATTCTAGGGTTCGGACCCTGGGTGCTCTCTAGCCAAGCTGCCAGGGGGCAGCCTGTCTGGGAACAGGTTGCAGATACATTCCATCCCCCAGGAGATCAAAGGCACGGTTCTCCTCCGGCCACCTCCTCTGAACCCAGCTTCCACAAGTGGGAGGCCAGCCTTGGCTGACGGAGTACGCTGCTCTCAGTTTCCCTGGTGTAAACCCAGAGCCACTCCACTGAGCACCGTGGAGTAAATGCTGCGTTTACATCGGCGTAGCCTGAGAATCTGGCCTGTGATCCTCCATGTTGCCAAATGGAAGGTGTCGCATTACGTATGGGCAGCTGCGATCTCACTTTTCCCCCTGCGCCAACATCTGCAGCCCCAGCTGGCAGGCTGCACAGCCAGGCCCTGCCTTGCATTCATGACCCTTCAGGCTGGAAAAGATTAGGATGTCACCCACCAGCATTTACTGCCCTGGCTGCAGAATGTCAGCTGGGATTGTCCTGGAAGCCCTGCAAAATGTTGGGTCAAGTTTCTCCCAGGCGTACGCACTTAAAGTCACTGGGCTGCGTGGGTGAGACAGAGGGGAGAACAGGCCCCTTTGTGTCCAACTACAAGGGAGAGTCAATTCCATCACGCAACTCACCAAGCAGAATAGCAAAAATTAGCATAGGCCTCAATCAACTGAGAAACCCTCACGTCCAGCAACATGACTCTGGGTCTCATTCATAAATCCTTGTGTCCCTCCTTGTGCAGAGTGAGAGTCCTGTGTGTCATTCACAAATCCTCACCTCTGTCCCCTAGCACAAGTCCTGCCTTTGACTTTTATTGCACAGGGTTTGATGACTTCATAGGGCTCCCCCTGCACTAAGCTTTTAAATGTAAGCCCGAGTCTCACATGTCTTTGCACGCAAGCTGCCAGCTCCACCCCTGACTTCTCACAAGTCCCTTACCCATGGTGCAAGACGCTGTATGTAACACCATGAAGACCACTCCAGTCCAATGTTCCCCACTGACCTGGCTAGGTCAGGCAGTCCCACTGCACAGCTGGCTGGTGCTATGTGATGTTACCAGAGACAATATTTATTCGCTGTTACTTACCCCTTTGACTATCTTGTAATTCTCGCTGCTCTTCTCTTCAGGGGTACTGACCTCCTCATCTGCAGCGTGCTACAAAGGGAAGGAAAGAGAGGAACATCTCTCGGTACAAAAAGAGAAAACCCAATAATAATGGGTAGGTGTCCCATATTGACTGAGTGCATGGCTCCTCAGCATGGGATAGAATTTCTAGACCTCATTCATGACTGATTTTTGGAGCAGCTAGTCCTGGAACCCACAAGGGGAGAGGCAATTCTTGATTTAGTACCAAGTGGAGCACAGGATCTCAAGCAAGAAGTGAATATCGCTGAACTGCTTGGTAAGAGTGACCACAATGTAATTAAGTTTAACATTCCTGTCAGGGGTAAAATACCAAAGAACCCCACCGCAGTAGCATTTAACTTCAAAAAGGGAGAACTGCACAAAAATGAGGAAGCTAGTTAAACGGAAATGAAAACGAAGAGTCACAAGAGTGAAATGCCTGCAAGATGCATGGAAGCTATTTAAAAACACCACAATAGAGGCACAAACTAAATGTATACCTCAAATTAAAAAAAAACAGTAAGAGGACCAAAACCAAAATGCCACCATGGCTAAACAACAGAGGCAGTTAGTGGCAAAAAGATATTCTTTACAAAGTTTCAGAGTAACAGCCGTGTTAGTCTGTATTCGCAAAAAGAAAAGGAGTACTTGTGGCACCTTAGAGACTAACCAATTTATTTGAGCATGAGCTTTCGTGAGCTACAGCTCACCTCATCGGATGCATCCGATGAAGTGAGCTGTAGCTCACGAAAGCTCATGCTCAAATAAATTGGTTAGTCTCTAAGGTGCCACAAGTACTCCTTTTCTTCTTTAAAAAGTGGAAACCAAATCCTACTGAGGAATACATAAAGGAGCTGGCAAGCCAAGTGGCAGGCCAAAAAAAGCATCTGAAGAGCAACTAGCAAAAGACACAAAAGCGAACAGCAAGAAAAATTTTAAATACAACAGAAGCAGGAAGCCTGTCAGACAATGATGGGGCCCCTGGACGAACAAGGTGCTAAAGAAGCACTCAAGGAAGAGAATGTTGTTGTGGAGAACTAAATGAATTCTTCGCATCTGAATTCACTGAAGAGGATGTGGGGGAGATTCCCACACCTGAGCCATTCTTTTTAGGTGACAGACCTGAGGAACTGTCCCAGGTTGAGGTATCCATATAAGAGGTATTGGAACAAATCGATAAATGAAAGAGTAATGTCACGCTAATTTTTATAAAAGGCTCCAGAGGCAAACCTGGCAATTACAGGCTAACTTCAGTACCAGGCAAATTGATTGAAACTACAGTAAAGAACAGACACACAGATGAACACAATATGTTGGGGAAGAGTCAACTTAGCTTCTGTACAGGGAAATCATCCCTCACCAGTCTATTAGAATTTGTTGAGGGTGTCAACAAGCACATGGACAAGAGTGATCCAGGGTAGCTGGACCTTCAGCAAGCCTCGGACAAGGTTCCACACCTGCCCGTTTCCCCAGGAGCAGCTGCCTTCCTGCACTGAATGCCTCACTAACACCCACCTCTGGCATGCCCAATTCAGGGAGCTGAACCGAGAGAGAATATCCTTCCGTCACTGGCCTGAGCTGGATTTGAACCAATGGCACAGGGGTGTCTGTATCCAGCCCATCCCCTGCAATCTGGAGAGCTGCTCAGGTTCTTACCTCTTTCTTCTCCTTCTTGGCCCCTTCCCCTGCGTCCTCCCCCTTGGGGCTGCCCTTCTTGTCCACCCAGAGTTCAGATTTCTCCACCATCATGCGCAGCTTGTCGAGCTCAGCCTTTATCACCTTGTAATTCTCAACATCCTGAGCCGAGATCAGGAGCTGGACCTGCAATGCGAGGAGAACCTCAGCCCCTTCTGCTCACCGAGGACCCGGTGTGCAATGAAAAGCCAAGCGTGGGTGTCCATCCGCCTTCTCCTCACTCAGCTCTCTGCTTCCCCCACCTTCAATCCAGAAGACTCAGGGGCAGCTGTGGCTGAAACAGCTGATTAAAAGCTACTTTTATGGCATTATCAGGCCTGGGTGTGATGTTGTTACCCAACCCTGAGCATCCACCTCCCACAGATGAGGCTCTCAAGACCACTTAGACTTGATTCCTGCCGGGCATGGCCAGGATCTGCAGCATCCCTACCAGAGCAGTTTAAGGAAGGAGCTGCACCAATGGGACTCCCTTAGCTGGCACAGATCTGGCCATTCCACCATGCACCTTTTCTTGGTGCCAAACGCTGTGGACATGCACCAGCTAGCCGCTGGACTGACCTCACCCGCTCATTTCCACGCCGCATTTGCTCCCTGCCACCTGGCTGGATTTAGACTCACACCTAGCGTAACCTATTTACAACCCCCTCAGCCAACTGCACCCCAGGTGTGGGCCAGGACTTGCGAGAGGGTCTGGGACACCTGGACTGCCCCCAGCCGTGTTACCTGTTTAAAGGTGTGCAGCACCTCCTGCCGCTGGCTGAAGTGTTTGAAGAGGAGCTGGAGGGAGCCGGAGACAAGCGGGGGATAGTTGTGCATCGTCAGGTGGATCAGCACACGGAGAAACATCCTCCCTCCTTCATCATCCACCTCTAACATGCTGCTCGACTTCCTGAAGCCAAGGGGAAAGCCCACGCCGTGAGTAACAATCCACTCCTCAGGCCACAGTCCTCAGCAGCAATAAGGACTCCCTCTGGCTTTGTGCTGGCCCTGTGCTAGCCCATTCCACTCCTGATGGCTGATAAGGGGCTCCTATGGTAGCCTTTATGGTAGCCCCAGGCCACCCACATTCTCTGCTCCCTGAGGCTTTCAGCCACCAGCAATCCACCTCTTCATAGGAGAGCGGGACTTATCTACAGGGAATAGCAAAGGACAGATTCACTTTCCGCTGGAAAGAAGGGACTGAGGCACTTACCCGACCCCGAACATGGCCTCTGCCTGCTCCCCTATTCTGTCCAAGTTCATTGCTGCACCTGAAAGGAGAGAAACCAAAGGGGCCATAAGCAGGGAGTTCAACCCCGCCCCAATGGAAGGTGACAACGAAACTTCTAGGGAACTCCTAGGGAAACAGTCTCAACTCCCAATCCAGGGAGGGGAAAGGGGTTTCCTGCCCTGCTGAACTCTGGATGGACTGGGCTATCTCTAGGTCGTCACAAGGTTGTTCATCAGCGTGGTACCTGAGCATTCACCACCGTATCCGCAGATTCTTGACCTCCCCTGCCTTTAAGCACCTCCCTCGGTAGTTCTCTGCTGAGCCACTGGCCTCTTCTACGTACACACACGTCCTGCTGCTATTTCATTGTGAGGAAGGAGCATATGGGAAGTGGGGAGTAGGGTGACCAGAGAGCAAATGTGAAAAATTGGGACAGGGGGTGGGGGAGTAATAGGAGCCTATATAAGAAAAAGACCCCAAAATTGGGACTGTCCCTATAAAATCGGGACATCTGGTCACCTTAGCGGGGAGGAAGGTGTCACCACCTTTAACCTTGAGCTTAACTGTGGCAAAGGGAAAAGCTCACAACAACAGAAGGGGAGTGGGGAGCAAATCGGCAAAAGGAAAGAGAAGCCAGGGAAGGAGGATGCAGACCTTTATTACTGAGCTGATACTAGGTACCACGGGGAGAGACACCTTAGAAACACCAGAGTGAAAGTGTCTGTGTCCCTAATTTCCTTCAACCTCCATCTCCTCCAAGCAAAAGCCTCCCAAACCACTGCTGGGCCCTGGCACCAAATAATCAAATCCAGGTCCAACCCAGCCCATTCAATGCAGCATGTATCCCTCTCCATCTGCTAAGAGAGTTTATCAGAGCCATACAGTGTGTTCCCAATAATCAGCTGGTATTTAACATGCCATATGGGGCCCTTTAAATCTAAGCTGCACTGGAGACTGGAACTGCTGGTAGAGAGCAAAAGGGATGGAGAGACAGCTACTTGTGGAGTCGAAGGCTGGAGCTGTCCCATCCGCGCTGCTGTCCTGCATGGGGTAGACTTCTATGAACTCCTTCTTGAAGACGGAGAGCAGGTAGGAGATCCTGTAGTCCAGCCGCACGTTCAGGATGAACTGGGGAGCAGCATGGGCAGAAGGAGTGTAGAAGTGAATCCCCCACCATGGAAACCACCCTCTTCACACTTGCAGCTTCCCGCCCCGTCCCCACCTTCCCTTCTGAACACCCCAGCCCTGCATTAACCAGAGGCCAGCGGCACTGGTCTATAGCAGAAGTCCACGGGAATCTGCAGCTTCCTCATTTCATTTGTTCCCTCCCTCTGAGCTTCATGCACCAGCTTTTCCATCACTGTGGGCTCCCACCTGCAAGATCTCCAAGATCTTCAGCTTGGTCTCCATCACAACAATGTTTTCATTCTCTATGGTCCTCTCCCGGTCCGTGGGCTCAGAGGCCACCACGGTGCTGAGGCTTGGGACACTGAAGACGGACTGTTTCCGGCTCAGGACCATGGTGGACATCATCTGGCCAACACCCTGGATGGACTTCCGCACGTTCTTCCCTAGGGAAGCAGCCAAGGTTGGCAAGAGGCTAATGTGTGAGGCCAGCTTTAATACACTGAGGGGGGCTAGAACTGGGCTTCCAAGTCCACCTTGCGGCTGGCATAAGGACCCACCCAAACTTCCACCAAACTGGAAACTGCTTTAATTTTATTGGAGGATAAATGGGGAGGCTGATTATTCACCTGGCGTGTCCCTGCATTTCTTACTTACTATTGCTGGCCAAATTCCGAGCTCCTCCCCCAGAACCTGAGAGAGGCCAAGCTCTTGCTAACCCCTGTCTCTCAGGCTTAGTCTACACTACAGAGTTAGGTTGACATAAGGCATGTCGTCAGTGTCTCCACTACAGCCTTGCGCCCACCAATATAATTGCCCTACTACGCCAACGTCATAACTCCATCTCCACGAGAGGCGTAGGGCTTATGTCGATGCAGTTAGGGCGAAGCAGAGTCTATGTAGACGCTGTGTTCCTTACATTGGCTGTTATTCTTGTCAATTACATGCCTCTGTTGGAGCCATGAAATTGACAAGAAAGCCAGCTCCCTGCCCCAGCGGGTCTCTGCTCCAAGCCAGGCTGCCACCCAGGCTCCCAGCTTTGGCTGCCGCCCGGGCTCCCCACTGCCTACTGGGAGCCCTGTTGCCCACCATGGTCCTGGCTCCCTGCACTGGGAGCACCAGTGCGGATCTACCCATCGGAGGCGAGAAGCCCCGGGCGACCTCCCCCCTGCTCCCGGCTGTGAGCGCAGAGGCGAAAAGCCCCAGGTAGCTGCCCCACCCCACACTTCCAGAGACAGTCAGGCCCACCAGTTTCAGCTGAGGTCATCAATGAATTGAGACCGTTCAGGGAAGCAGGTGCTTACAGGCCAGCCATGGAGCCTTACCCGCCATATCCTCATTGTACATGGACTGCATCATGAGCTGAGGGTTCTGGACACAGTCTATGATACCCAGCAGAGTGCGTGTCAGGCGTAGCAGCTCACTGAAGCTGTAGAAGCCAAAGTAGATGAGGTTGTGGGCGAGACTGACGACCTGCAGGAAGGACAGAAAGACTCCAGTTCTCTCCCACACCCCGTGAGCAGACGAGGAATACAACCATACAGGGTAAGGACTCCCACGATGGCTGCCCAGTCTGCAGTGGCAATTGGCCATTCCAAGATGGCGGCCCAGTTTGCGCCAAGACGTGGCAGTTCCAAGATGGCCACCCATGGTGTGACCAGAAACTGGCCGCCAAGTTTTCGCAGGGCCCCTGTACAGCAGTGAGACGTGGCCTCCTTGCCTCTTCGAGGGAATAAGGCCCAGGCTGTGCTGAAATGCCCCCATTCGGGATTGCTTTAAAGCAGGGCCAGCGCAGGCTTCTCACCTCAAAGGTGAGCTTGTTCTTCTCCTCGTTGGCGAACGGCACCGCCTCGCTCACCACGTTGTTGAGATAATCCTCCACGAACTCCATGGTGCTGGCGAACTTGTTCTTCTTGTCATCCCGGGAGTCGTTCAGGTTGGAGTCGTAGCTGCAAAGGGGAGGAGAGGCGCAGTGAGCCAGCAGGAGATGGGCCAAGTCTCTCTCAACGCCCTAGCCCTTCAAGTGCCTCTCCCGCGGAGGAGGAGCCCCTGCCTGGCTCTCCAGAAGGGCAGCATGTCGTGCCAGATGCAGTTCTCTGCATCGGATGGACAGGCCCGGAGGTCAGCGTCCCTCTCCCCACAAAACCCCTGCCTGGCAGCAGCAAGGGCGAGTGTCCCAGTGACCCTGGCCTCGAAGAGAGAGAGAGAGAGAGAGAGGAGAGCTCAGTCTCCAAAGCTCATTTCGTCACTGGCCTTGAGGACTGATCAGTTTTTTTTAAGGCTTTGCCCGTGAGGAGACCTGGCTAAGACCTGCCAGACCCATTCCACATGTGCCTCCCGCCTGCCTTCACTATGGCCATTTGGTCATTAGTGACACAAATTGGATCTGAGCCAGGGATCTCTAGGGCGGGATGGGCTGGAATCCCCCATGCCACCCCCTTTCACGGTGAGAAGCACCGGTTTGCCTCACTCTTTGATGGTGATGGCATTGGGGATCTCCGTCCACAGCCGCGCGAACTTGACGGGCATCACCAACTCCTGGGGGTCCCGGTCTACATGCACGTGCAGCATGAGGTGGCAGAAGGAGGCCCGGAGGTCAAAGGGCAGCATCTCGTCCGCCATGCAGAGGAAGATGAGTTCCACCCTCAGCTGCTTGGAGATCTCTTTGATCGCCAGGTACTGGCGGTCCAGGCACATGCGGGCAAACAGCTTCAGCTGATACCTGCTCGGGGGTGAGAGCGAGGGAGGGAGACACACAGAGACGGAGACGGGCGAAGAGATGAAAGGAGAGAGGGCGGGGATCTGTATTAGATCATTTGTGGAAGTGACAGACGTCATCCCGCCCCTCGGCCGAGGGAACAAGACCCCGCTTCATGCCCAGCCGGTGCCCCTTGGTAGCTGGTGAGGGCCTAACGGGGTGAGCAAGAAAGCTGGAGAGAGGTGGCTGGGCCAGGGGGCTGCTCTCCGAGCCCGCACAGCCGAGCTCTGTGAACGGAAACAAAGGCGCAGCTGTGCTCCCGTCGCTGAACTCCCACTGACTCCAGCAGCAACACATGCCCCATGGTGGCTGGCTGAGTGAGGGGGGGCCCCCCACAAACATGCTCCTCTTCTGTTTCCCCTTCACCCGCACCCAGCCAGTGTCCCATGGGCACACCCCCTCAGCAGGGCTCCTTCAGAGCATGCTCGCCTTCGCATTAGCGGAGCAGGTGGGTTACGTCCCCCACTGCCAGACAGGGAGATCAGCCGGACGGTCACCTCCCTGGCTCATCCCAGCGCCTGGGGGGGGGACTGGGCTGGCCCAGGAGTGGCTGAGCATGTGGAGACATGCCGAGGGCAGGGACGGCACTCACAGAGCCCAGCATCGGTTCCCTTGATGCGGAATTCCAGTCCCTGGTGAACTCCCCCGAAAAGTCCAGCTCAGCCAAGGGTGGGATTTACTGTCCAATCCTCACGTTGTCCCCATCGGACACCCAGGAGGGTCGGGGAGGTCACATGGCATTACCTGTAGTAACTCAGGACGTTCTCATCATGAGCGTTGCCCGCCCGCGCCTCCTGTGCCAGCTGCCGGATGCTTTTCTCTTGGGAGTCGTTGTTCTTGTCACTCCAGGTCAGCCAGACCTCCTCCTCGGAGTACTCGATGCTCAGGTATTCGTGGGTCTGGGACATCTCCTTTACTGGCCTCAGCCTACAATCACACTGCCACGTTCAACAGGGGTCCTTACTCCCCATTGTACGGATGGGGAAACCGAGGCACGGCGAGGTAACGGGACTCACCCAAAGTCACATAAGGAGTCAGGATTTCAGACTCCCCAGGCCTGGGCTCTGACCATTTGACTACGCTACCTCCCATCTCACACAGGGCAGAGGAATAACCACAAAGGAAAGAAAACTCGTTGCGCTGGGAAGATCCTCTCCTAGACTGCTGATCAGGGAGCGGACCCAAGGGAGCAGAAGGCTGAGCCCAGAGAATCCACCTGTCCCAGACTGATGCTGGGCCCAGATGCTGGGAACTGTGGCGTGGGCAAGCTGAAGAAAGCCGATATTTCATACTGTGTCTTAGGCACTAATTTCAGGAGGCTCCCCGTAACAATGGTCCAGATCCATCCCTCTAGATGTTGGCCCCATCACAGTAGTATCTGAGCGCCTCACCATCTCTAATGGGTTCACCCTCACAACCCTGCTGTGAGGCTGGGCAGGGCTATTCTCCCCATGCTACAGAAGGGCAACTGAGGCACAGGGTAGATTAAGTGACTTACCCAAGGTCACCCAGGGAGTCGGTGGAAGAGCAGGGAATTGAGCCTGGGTGAGTATCCTAGCCCATCCTTCCTCACCAGAAAGGGGGTATTATCCCCCTGGACAGATGGGGAATTGGGGCACAGAGAGAGTCAATGATGTGCCCAAGGAATTGAACCCAAACCTCCTGAGTCCCTGGCCAGGGCCTTAATCACTAGACCACCCTTTCTCTACCCCCTTGAAATCAATGGAGCAATGCCAATTTCCACCGAGGCGCTGGCCCTGAAGATTGATGGGATGCGGTAAGATGGCCCTGAAGCCTCATACCACCCTATGGATTGACCGGGGTGAGGAGGGGGAGGGTATTCCCATGACTCTCCCCACTCCACACACAATGCTACAGTCCCACACGGGGGGGGGGGGTGGGGAAGGGCCCAGCACTCAGGGCCAAGCGGCCCCTGAGATACTCACTCCGTTTTAATCAGGATGTCGCTGTTCTTGGGGTCCAGCACGCACTTGCAGATCAGCTCCTGGGTGACAGGGATGGCGATGTGGTTGGACACACACAGGTCCGAGAGGTAATCTAAGAACCTGGGGCGAGCACAAGAGAGCCACAACTCACGGTCAGATGGGGCGGGGGGCTGGCTTGAAGGGGAAGGGCGCCCCAGTGGATGCTCTGGCCTCTCTCTCTCAGCTATTGTCTTCGCATGAACCTGGACCGGGGCTGCAGACCTTATGGAGCTGTTGGCCTGGCGCACCAGGATAGGTCTTTGAGGCTTGAAGAGCGCATGCTCCCAACTGGTGAGAAATCCTGCTCTGGCATTCACACCTGGGAGGGTCCTCCTGCTCGAGCAACAGGCTCAGCCCAATCTAGCCTTCAGCTGATGCTCCACATTAGAGGGCGCCTGCCCTCTGTCTGAGTCTCCACCTCCCCAGGCCCCACGACTCTGCTCTCGTATGGCGCAGTTCTGCTTTTACCGCGCCAAGATCTGCAGCATCCGATGTCCCATCCCCTGACAGCATGAGCCACCCAGCGGGGCACTGCCAGCCACTGCGATCCTCCTGGGAGATATCTGCCCTCTTACACCACGAACACCCTGGAAGGTGCTTCCACTCCTCTGATACTCCTGGCCTCTGCAGTTCTGCCCCCGCAGGGCTCCGTTAGCCTCTCCGATCCCTCCAGGCCTTTGCAAGGCCCGCTACTTTCTCCACTACCCCAGCCTCTGGATTCCTCCTGTTCCCTGCGTGACTCCCTCTCCAGGGCACTGCTAGTCCCTGCTCTCGAAACCCCAAACATACCGCCCCCTTCACCAGCACAGTCCCTCTGCTGGCCAGCAACCTTTACGGCTGCAACAGAGCAATATTCAGCTGGTTGGACGCGACAGTCTTCAAACACCAGTGCACCGGGGTCCATCGCTCAGTGCACAGACTGCGAGACAGCAGCCAGGTTGCACGGCACGCACCTGGGCTCCCGGTTCTTGCGCACCAGGCTGACGAAGGTCTCCACCTCGGTCTTGGTGATGTGCTTCTCCAGCAGCTTGCGGTTGTTGTGCAGGAGGGCGGTGATGGTGTCCTCTGCCAGGATGTCGTAGCCGATCTGGGACTGCATCATGCCGAACTGCTTGGCGATATGTTCCTGGAGGAGCGGGGCAGAGATCAGGTGGGGGCAGGGGCAGAGCAGTTAGCAGGGGCCAGGGCTAGTACTGGGTGCCAATGGTGACCGCAAAATACACCCCCAGCATGAGGGACAAGTAGGGTGAGCGACATCTGGAATCTGTGCTCTGACACCAACTGAGGTGCCTGTCCAATGCAGAGACCCAGCACCCGCAGACCCAACCTCTGGGGAAGATATCCAGGTTCCCCACTGGCTGATTATGGTTGGGTGTGGGCTCGGGTCCCACCCTCCACCCAGGTCCTGCTGCTGCCCTCAGGGCCACTCTCTGCTTCCGACACCTATCTCCTTCAAGGGCTTCCCCCCATAAGCCCTGCTCGCTGTCTGGCCAGCTGTGGAGAGAAGGATCCCCGCCCAGGGCTTCCCCATCAGTGTCAGTGTTAAATGGTGGCCAAGAGGAAGATCCAAGCTCCGGAGAGAGAGGACAAGGTTCCTGCCTGCCTTGGGGACAGCAGAGCTGGCGTGTGGTGAGGAGACCAGGGGCCTGGAAACTCTGTCACTTCATGGCCCAAGTAGCTGACAACTCCAGTGGGAAGACAGGGAATTATCCGTATGGGAGATTCTGCTAGAGCAGCAGGAGTGCACGGGAGTCCTAAAGCCCACAGCTTGCTAGCCAAATCAGCAACACGTGTGAGTGGGTTCCTGGAGAGCAGACGGAGATGACTTGCTCCCTTTTTGTGATATGGACGTACAGTGCCTAGCACAACGGTGCCATGATCCCTGATTAGGGCCTCAAGGTGTTCCGCAATACAGATGACAGTGTATCACGTGGGGCCAGGAGCTCTGGCCAGGACGACCCGGCCGCCCTGCCACACGGACCCACCTGGTTCTTGCGATAGTCATCCTGGGAGTGCCGCAGCACCCGGTAGCAGAGGCGGAACATGTACTGATAGGGAGCATTCTTCTGATCCGACAGCTCCTCCAGCCGCACCAGGGGGCCTTCCCCTCCCTTTTCCTTGAACGGAGCTTTCAGGATCCCGAAGATCTAATCGAACACAAAAGGGGGAAGCCGGAGGGAGTCAGATTCCAAGCTGCCCTCCGCAAATCTGCGTTCAGAGCTGCAGCTGAGTCCTCTCTGTTTAGTTACAGGTATTTCTATGGTGCTCGTTCCCTAGCAGGTGAGATAAGGGATGCCTGCAGGCAGAGCCTGGTTAAACCACCCCTGCTGCTAACTCAAGGCCATCCATGGTAGTTCAAGGGATACAGTGGGTCCCCTCTGGAGACCTCAACTCTGATCACAAGCAGAATGAATTGGACCGTCTCACGTAAGGCCTGCGTGGAGATTTTATGACCTCAAATAAAGCACCCTACGTTTCACTGGGCTCAAAAGGAACCCAAGGCTGGAATAAGAGCAGGGGCTGCAGGTCTCATTTCATGAGTGTCAGCAGAGCTGCCTGTGGGGCACAGACTGATAGCCGTGGGGAGCTGCAGGTCAGGACTGATCGGCATCCGAGATGGAAGAGGACAGCTTTCATGACACCAGCACCAAGTATGCCTGCCCTCTGGCCAATTTCTAAGAGCCCCTTATTTTAATGACCTTTCAATTGACCAAATTTGCCCCTCACCCCCAACTATGTATAGCTTCTAACAATAACTCTATAAAAATGCCCCTGAAGAATACAAGCTGGCTTCACAGACACACAGTCCACAATTCTCCAGTGTCTCTCTGACCAGCCTGTCCCCAAATTCCTCGTTCCCCAGCCCACGTTTTCCCCACGGCTCACTGAGGGTTCAGTGGCTGAATCACTTTGGTTCAAACCCAAATCCTTGTCCCTGCGTGTCCCTCCTCTCCCATCCTGCTCACCTGTTTCAGGATGTTCTGCTCCCGCATGAGTTTCTGCCTCTCCCGGTTGGGTTTGGTCACCATGATGTCCAACACATTCTGCCCGTTGTTGGGAACGTCGCTGACGAAAAACACCAGGTCCTCCAGCAGCTGGATCACAAACCTGCAAAGCGGGCAGCACGCAACATCATTATTGGCAGCGGGTGCATCCATGCCACCTGGGACCTCAGCAATGGGAGGGTTAATAACCAGAGAGCAGCCTAGAACCGCTCCTAGTCTCCAAACCAACCCCTAATGTTGGGTGGTTCATACAAAACTAATGAGACCCAAGTTGGGTTTTGAGGAACTTATGCAGTGTGTAGAACATGTATCGGGCCTCTGTGCAGGAGAGAATTTGACCCCCATAATGTCCATGGGGAATTTATTCCCTGACCTCTTAGAGCTTGGTTTATGCCCTGAAGCATGAGGGTTTAGAGCCCTTATAATTCTGTAGAATCAGAAAAAGAATTAGATAAGTTCCTGGAGGATTGGTCCATCAATGGCTATTAACCAAGATGGTCATGGATGCAACCTCATGCTTTGGGTGTCCCTAGCCTTTGACTGCCAGAAGCTGGGAATAGGCGACAGGGGATGGATCCCTTGATCATTACCTGTTCTGTTCATTCCCTCTGGGGCACCTGGCATTGGCCACTGTTGGCAGACAGGTTACTGGGCTAGATGGACCTTTGGTCTGACCCAGTCTGGCCGTTCTTATGTTCTCATGTGTATTCAAACTAAAAGTACATAAAGAATTTGGCTTGGACAACAGGACTAATATCCTCACACTTGTGAACAGTCAAGAGTTTGATCATCATGAGTGGTCAGAACCCTGGTTCTCTTCCACAAGACAAAGCCCTTCAGGCAAGTCTCTGGCGCACCGTAGCCCAAGGGACTCAGCTTGTCTTCTGGTGGAGGGGTGGCAAAGGGGAAGTGGCTTAGTCATCTGCGTCACCGTATCGCTGTGTTTTGCTTAGGAAATGCCAAGAACCCACCCGCCTATAAATAACACCACGACTAACTAACCTGGCGCTATCTCAGGGCCATCTCCCAGCTCCTCATTTATTTCTCTTGTTGCAAAGGAGGGGCCCGACACACGCAATCGGATTTCCTTGCTGCGTCCCTGGGGAGGAGCCGGCTTGTAATCAGGCCACTGGCAGGGAAGCACGATGGTGCTTGCACAATGCTCTAGGCCGAGAGCCATGCTGTGCCATGAGTAACAGAGATATGGCCCGGCCCACGGACTCTGTCCTGCTGCCCCCTGCACCGGAGGACATGCTGCATTCTAGCAGTAGGACTGCATGCTTCCTTGCTTATTGTAGGCTGGATATCCAGCCAGGCCCTTTACGCCCCCACATCCCTAGTGACCATTTGGTCAGGATACGGGGGGTGGGGAAGGGGGAGGCCTGGCCACAGTAGGGGTGATAAGATCAGCTGAGGGCGAGAGGCCTGGCTGGGGGGGGCTGGCCAGTGTTGGGGGCGGAGATGCCTGGCTGGGGGTGATCTCAGTTGGAATGGAGACTAGGGAGCCTGCCTGGAGGACCCACCTAACTGACTTCCACCAAGTCAGGCCCCCAGAGCGTCCATTTGGTACTGCAGGCAGAGGAAGATCTCTGGCACCCTAAGTCTACCCCCAACTTGGTGCTCACTGCCTCACCCCTGCACCCAGAGTGACTCTGCTCGCCTCCCACAGGCATCTGGAAGGCGACGGCCTCACCCTTATATCCGGCATGACAAAACTGTGATCTGAGTGGATATCAGGCTTTCCTGGGTTTCACCAAAATCCACAGGGCTCAGCACACTGGAGCCTCGGATGCTCCCCGAGACTCATCAAATGCAATGTTCAAAAGTCACCGTGTTACAGACAGGCAGAGAGATGCCTTCGCGTTGAGCGTGGGCCTGGCTTTGCTTGGCCAATGGTCAGGAGCATGGTTGGGTTTGTTACCTGCGGTCGTTCTGGCTGATGAAGCCCTCGTTCATCTTCTCCACCACGTTGGCCAGCATGGAGCTGGCATCGTTGGCAAAATCCAGGTCCCGGATTTCTGACACTGGCACAGAGACAATGGCGAAAGCTTCTTTGTCCTCCTTGGTGGGGCAGGTGCCGAGCTGAAAGAGAGAACCCCGTGTCACCCCTCACCAAAACCCGCTTCAGCTCCAGCGACCGCATCTGCCGCAGGGTCAGACACACATGGACACCTTTCTCAACACTTCACCCACTACAACGCTGGGCTCCGGGTACAACCCCTCCCTTCCGCACTGCTATTTACCACCACCATCACAGCACCTGTACTCCAACCATGGTGGGATGAATGAGCCACCCGACCCCGTCCCTACCTCGTGGCTACTATCAGCTATTTGCACTGGACAGATGAGTTGGGTTCTAGGTTGCTTTGGCTGGGTTCTAGGTTGCTTTGGTGGGTAAAAGGTTGCTTTGGGGTTCTAGGTTGCTTTGGTCCTCCTGATGATGCTCAAGAACCTACAGGGACACGAACTCTGAATTCTAAGAGCTCATTAGACCCTGCAGCCAAGCTGTGACCAAGCATGGGACGTACCATGAGACGAATGGGTCTCTCTTCATCGATGTCAATGGGCACGTCGGTGCTCTGGATCCAAGTGTTCGTACAGAGGTGGCGCAGCCTCACGTAGGAGTTCCTGAAATCGGTACAATGAAGGTTCCGTGTTTCTATCGCGCTTTCCATCCAGAAAGGCCCGGAAGCACTTTCCAGATGCGCAGGTGGGAATCACGTCAAACCTCCCCGTGCTGAAATGCAGCCACCTCTGGGGTGGGACACGACGGTCATTCTGCACCAGTTCCTGCAGGGGAATTAGGGGAGTCGACACAGTCACCCAAGCGGGAATTGGGCCAGGACCCCATGGTTGCGCTACTGGTTTTCCAACACACAGCAACTCCAGCCACGCAGCTCCCACCAGCGTGCTGGCTCAGCACTGACTTGGAGAGAACAGGGCCACTTACACTTTTCCTTAGAGGTCCCCCCTTGCAAGAGTGGACCAGGTTTCAGTGCTAGGCTTTCAGGTTGTGTGACTGCTACTCCATGTTCCCTTCCTTGACCCCAAATCCTCCCCCCTTCTAAAGCAGCCCAACCTCCATGAGACTGCGCCCAACTGGCGAACTAGCTCTGAATTCCCACCAGGCCATGAAGCCGACTGAACCGGTGAGGTTTCACAGTGGGCCCGGGCGTTCCCACATACCGAGGGACAAAGGAATCCGTCTTCTGCAGCGTGGTAGGGTCCAACTCAAAGAGGGAGGCAATGTCATTCCCGTGGGGCACGGCCACCAGCCGGTATTTGATCTTCTCCCCCGTTTTCCTCCGGCTGGAGCGAATGGTCCCGCCCTGCAGCAAGGGAAGCAGCTATGGAGTGTGGTACCAAGCGGTTGGATGCGGTACCAAGCTCCCGCATGCATGCATACTCTAGGGGGAAGGTGGGTCAGTCTTGAGACACAGCAGAAGCTCCCAAGAACCTGGGCTGGGGTCTTGCAGCATGAAAACACATGAGAAGAGGGGTGGCATGCACCAGTGGACCTACAGGACCATCTCCACCTTCCCGAAGACACTTGGTAAACAGGGTAAAAGAACCCCTCTGCCACAGGGCTAGGAAGTCATCTCTCTTCTACCTCCACCTCATCTGCATGCCCTTCCAGCGCGCTCTGGGCTGTGCGAACCCTCCAGGCCATTCGATTCCAACCAGATGTACGAACACCTGCCGGGGGTGCACTCGGGACACTTGGCCAGTGTGCTACATGGAGATGCCTCATAGAGCAGGTACACTGAGCAAGGCAGCCTTCCAGCACTGCCAGGAGCATCACATCCACCAGAGCACGATGCCGCTCCAGTGTCACCCTGAGCACCAGCTGCTGTGGTTTCCCTGAATCTAACTGCACCTGCTCCCTCCCTAGCTGGGCCAATGGCCCGTTCTGTTACGGTGCCGATTCCCTGTGTTCTCAACAGCCAGTCAGAGAGTCTAAGTGGATGAGCAAGGAAATTACTTCCAGGCCCAGAGAGCAGCAGCCGCTCAGCCACTAGCCAAGCAGAACACATCTCAAAGCTCACCATGGATGCAGACTTGGGATCGGCGGCATCTCCTTTGTAACTTGGGTTTTCCTACAAAGTGAAAGAAATATTAAATAAATAACAACATAAACACGCAAGTTGGGCCATTGACTCTGACCCTTTCAAATTCCAAGCAAGGGGGTTTGTCACCTGCTCTTTCTTCCACTGACTCAACGGAGACATGCCAGATAAGTCTTTCTTGGATGTCTCGCTCTAAAATATAGGTTCTAGCCTTCACCGCACAATGTGGGCTCAAGGCAGGAATGGGTGGATGACGTTTTCTGGCCTGTGTTATGGAGGAGGTCAGACTAGGTCGGTGGTTTTCAACCTGTGGGCCATGGAACCCTGGGGATCCACAGACTCTGTCTTAGATTTCCAAAGGGGTCGGCACCTCCATTTGAAATTTTTCAGTGGTCCACAAAGTTTAAAAGGTTGAAAACCACTGGAGTAGATCTGATCATTCTGGCCCTGAAATCTGCAAATGCCCTAGAAGGCGAGCAAGAGCTGAATTTGGTCAGGAGTCAGAAAAAAAAGAGTTAAGCATGGCTGGCCAAATTCCTTTTTGACAGAGCAACGGGGTTGTGGTGAAAGGATTGACTGTAGAGCTTGGCCCAGGATGAGCAAATAAAGGACAGCTCAGCCTGCTGGGCTGTGCGTGCCGCAGGCCAAGCGGAAAGGGAGAACGTGAAGAGCAAGTTTGACAAGTGCGTGCCAGCTCTGGGGGCTTTTTGCTGGGCATATTCTAGCATGGCAAATGGGCAAACAGCAATGTTGTTCATGGCCCCAGGCCCAAGTCTTGGCGTCTCTGCCTCCTATAAGCAAGGAGGAACTGGAAGGGAGCTGCAGACCCTCCCATCAGCACGGGCAAGGAGCCTCCCAGGCAAAAGATTCTCAAAGCTCCCTATAAACTAGATTAAGGTCAGTTTCCGCCCCAAGGAAAATATGCAGGGCCCCCATGCAGAATGTGGCCCTGCGGAGAGCAGTCGCTGCTCTGCATTACAGGCAAGATTGCAGCCCCTTTGCAAGGGATGGCAAGACCTCGATGGCAGCAGGAGCTGGCCGTCTCCATCCAGCCCCCTCTGCCGCTCTTACCTCTGCGGCCAGGTAGTTCCCAGTGGCGAGATGCTTGAAGCGGTACAGGCCGTTCCAGTGCCCGGCTCCACCTCGGCAGGGATCGTGATGGACCACCTGAAAGGCATGCGGGGAGAGAAAGGAGGATCCAGGGGTTAGGGTGCTAGCCTGGGACCTGGGAGACCATGCTGAATTCCCTGCTCCACTACAGACCTTGGGAAGTCACTTAGCCTCTCTGTGCCTCAGTTCCCCGCCTGTAAAATGGGGATAACCGCCCTGCCCTGCCTTGCAGGGGCGCTGTGAGGGGAAATGCATGAAAGGGAGCGAGGTGCTCAGAGCCTAAGTACCTAGAATAGCTCTGAGGTGGGTCAGGTGCGGTGGATGTGTCGGGGACACCCCAGGGCGGACATGGCTTCCAGCAGGCAACAGGAACAATTTGAACCCTCTAGGAGGTCACGGAGTACATCCCGGGCTCTGCTCTGGGCCTATTGTTAGCTCTGTGCAGCGATTAACCGCCCCTTTTCAGTGGGCAGTGCTGCAGCCACCGGGCTATGGCTGCGTTGCTAAGGGGCAGCGTTTGACGAGCAGCCCAGGCAGAGTGTCTAGGCCCGAAACGTACAGAAACAGCCATTCAGTCTGTCAAAGCATCCACTACGAAAGCATGAACTCAGCAAACCACAGAGTCACCTGTCAGACTCCAGCCTGATGCTACCCCGGCGTGGGTCACCAGCAGGGCTGGAAGCTGGGACCGTCTGCACCAAAAAACACACCCCTCTCCTCTACCACCTGAGCTGCCATCAGCTGTCTGCAGTAGTAGGCTGTTATCCTCTGTGCACACCAGCCACTAGAGAGCGCTGACACGCTCTTCTGCAACCGTGCTACCCCTGGTGCTCACCTCGACTTCCCACAGTGCATTGGAGCTGGTGGCAGATGTGGCAGATTGCCTCAGGGTGGTGCGGAGGAAGACGTGGATTTTGGCCTTGTACTCGTCGCAGGTGAGAAACTTCTCCTGCTCGGCATGGAACAGCCTCACCACATCCCCCTGCCAACCAGGGACACAGAGAGGAGGTTACGAGGGAGGTACCCACAAGACACACGCACAGGGATGGCACCTTTCGATCTGCCGGTTCCGTGGACACCCCTTCCCTAAGCTTCAGAGACAATACATGCACTCATGGGCCAATCAAGCTCAACCGCCTTTGGGCAGGGCTGTCGTCCTGCAGAGAGTCTTTGGGATTCAGGCAGCCATACCGGTGGCATGCTCAGCAGGGCAATTGCATCCAGACGCCCTACTGCCCCTTACCATTTCCTCCCCCCACTTCACTAGGTGGCGTGATGGGTGAAAGTGCAGGTTTTTCTTCTTGAAGGAGCAGAGCTTCTGTACCCTGTGTTGGTACAGACTGGCAAAGAAAATTCAGATTGATAGTCACAGGGGCTGGGCTGTCTCTCCCGCCGTGTTTGTACAGCGCCTAGCACAACGGAATCCCTATCCAGCAGCTCTGGCATGAAGAATGGATGCTTGTTCATTACCCCTTTCAGCACTTCCTCCATGTGGTCCCGGAACTGCATGAACAGGTTGATTTTCCAGCTGGTGTTGCAATTGACTGAGTTCACCTGGGAAAAAAGACAGAGAGATCGAGATGCTAGTGACGGGCCTGAAACAAAACAGATTGGTTCCAAACAAGTGCTAAAGAAGTTCAGATCCAGACATGAGCATCGTGACTACTAGCCCTCCCACAGAATCCCTACAGTGGACTCGAACCCTTCCCTCCTCCCTGTTCTTGGTACCTCTTTGCAGCCGGCATTGTCGGCAAGTTCGTAGTTGCTGGCATGCAGTGGCTGCCCGGCGTTCACAGGGTTCAGGATCACTTTGTCTCCCACGACTACCTGGGGAGGAGAATTAGAGAGAGGGGGGTGAGAGCATGAACATGGGGACTCTGCAGAGGGATGAGCCCTGGGCACGCTGCCTGCATGTCTCTTTCGTGGTTGCTGATGTGGAAGTCTTGCCCCTGAGCATGGTCCTGCCGCCCTCAGGATCCTCCACCAGCCCCCATCACCTTTATTCTGAGAGCCTCTCTCTACTCACTGGGATCTGCAACCAGGATGCAGAAAAGAGACTCTCCCTATCTGGGAATGCGCCATCAGCATTGTTGCACGAACAGGCTGGCCTTTGGGGGGGCGGGCTGAGAAACAGGGTGTGTCCCCTCTGCCCCACCCTCATCTGCTTGAGAGTGACAGTTGAGCCCCTGAATCCTAGAGGACACTGAATTGCTCCACTACCCCCCAATCCATCCTGTAGTGGACCTGAGCTGAAGCAGCAGGAGGGAGCATGGCCTAGTGGTCAGGGCTGGAGACCAGGAGTCAGGACTCCTGGATTCTATCCCTGGCTCTGCCACTCACCTTGGGCAGGCCACTTAACCCTCACTGCCTCAGTTTCCCCAGCTGCCACACTGATCACCGAGGACGACCCCCCAACCCCGGAGCCCTCCCACCTCGGTTTCCGCCTCCCCACCATACTCACATTATCCCCGTTGCTCCTCAGTTTCCAGAAGGGCTGGATGAAGAGCCAGGAGCCCTCGTTGCCCATCGCATCCAGCGTCACCCTCATGGCGTTCTTCTCCAGCAGGGCGGGGAGACGTTTGTTCACTGTCAGGTACTTGTTACTCTTCATGTGGAGAAGCTGGAAAGCCAAACACAGTGGCATCCCCAGTCCCCTCTACGGCACCTTAGCCCAGGCGGGGAATTAGGGAGCCCCTGCATGGTGACGCGAGGAAGCACAGGCTGGGAGCGAGAGAGACTCACAGAAGCCTCCTCCTTTCTATCCACTATTGCAGAGCCCTGTCTCTTCTCCACCACAAGGGACACTGCACGAGGAAGGCCTGGTCTGCCCACACTGCCTTTGGCTTTTGCCTGGTCCTCCAGCCTGGCTTGCTGCCTTGGTTCTGTGCATCACCCCAAGGCCCAAGTTACGGGGTGGCCCGAGGCTTTCAGGTCTCATGGAGCTGAGTAGTTGTACGCCAAAATCTAACCTGCCAGCAGCAGCCCTCAAACAAAGGTAACTGCCAGGTGACAAACAATCACAGGGTCCCATGGGTGCAGGGCCAAGGCTGTACGCCAAAGCAAGTGTTTTACTTGCCTGCTAATACTCGCCTGCACCCTCACTTCCTGCACAAGCAGACCGGGCTGGGCTGCTGTTACAGAAGCCATAGCACTGCATAGGGCCCCCTGCGTTCCAAGGGGTGCGTTTCCAGCTGCCCCTCCAATGGAGCCCACCGATGGGTGAGAATTTACTCCAGTGCTATGTCACATCCTGGTGCGCCCATCCGCTAACCCACAGCCTGCAGGGTCTTAGCAATTCACCACCAGCCACCCAAACCCCTTCACATCGAACAGGCAGAAAGCTGTCCAGTCTCTGGCTGGGAATGGACCAGTCTTTAGCTACACCCCAGCTGGGGACTGAATCTGGATACTGATGGTTTACTGGGTCTACACTGCAATGAAACACCCTCCATTAGCTATTGCCTAGATGCTCCTACTAAAACGAACTCTTGAGTTCACAGGAGAAGCAATCAGGCAGCTGTGTAGGTTGCTTCAGACCCTATCCCTGGACATCCAGGGAGGAGATAAGAGGCCATGCCGCGAGCTATAGCCCAGAGCTGCCGGCGATGCTGAGCCCAAGGGAGGGGAGTGCTCGCGGCCCATACCTGGATGACGCTGCCGTACTTCACCACGTCCCCGTGCACCTTCTTATTCTCCGTATCGTTCTGCTTCTGCTCCATCTGCGCCGCATGCTGTCCGCAAAACACAGAGCAGGGCCCGGTGAGCTGCAGCCACCTCCCGTTGGGGCGCGTGGGGGAGGAACACGGGGTAACGAGGGAAGCTTCACGCCAGCCACAGGGGGAGGCCAGGCTTGCGATCTACTTCTGGATCCCCTCCCCCTCGATGGCCACGGGCAAGCTCCCAGGCTTGGGGCCACGTTTCATAAAGCGGCCTGGGATTTGGGCTGCCTCGGTGTCTGGGTGCTCGACCTGAGACAACTCGGAGTGGCCAGAGCAGCTCTGCTTGAAGGCGGTGGGAGCCGTGGGTGCTCAGCAGCTCTGAGAATCAGGGCCTAGGGGACTCCAACTGGACACCCAGAAACCGATGCACCCCAAATCAGAGGGCGCCTTGGAAAAAAGTGGGCCCCAGTCTTCTGGGCAGGTTGGCTCCAGGTCTTACTGTGAACATGAAAACAAGGGAGCGCGTGCCTTTGCACGGGACTGCGCAAACTGCCTCCATTTGAAACCCTGCTGGTGCTGGGAGGCCCCAGGATTCGGGAGGTCCCCAGCAGTTACCAGGGCCAGCTCTCCTCGAAACACTGGCAGTTACTGCACACAGGAGGCTGCATGTTCTGACTCGCTAGCTGGAGATGGCCCCGTAGTAACCAGGAAGCTGGGAGAAAGATGCTGGAGTGGCCATCTGCCCGCTCTGAGATGCCCTGGAATAGGCCAGCCAGACTGTCTCCCCAAAACCACATGCGTTATCCATGCCTCTTCGTGGTGTGTTGAACAGGAAAGTTACTGTTGAATATATGGAGCGAGGAATGAATTCTCCGTCAGGGCATATTTATATGGGGAGTATTGGGGTCCGACTACATCAGCAGCGTCTCTCCTGGATTGAATGCCAGGCTGTCAAATTGTCCAGCCCAGGGCAGCTTACAGGACCTATGTATGCCCTAGGGCTACCAGTTAGCCAAGATTGTTCTAGCAGAGGCTATGCTTACAGCCGGTGGTTTGAGGAGTGAAAGGTCCCTAACTTATGGCTATGAAGTCTATGCAGATGACTCACAGCCAATGTCCATAAAGTTCTCGGTAGCCGGGGATTGCTACAGGGTGATTTTGCGGGTGGTTCACTGGGTTCAAGACACACTCCACTGAATTCTTGCAACTGCAGCAGGGTAAGGGGGATGGGAGAACCCGTGCCTTTCCCATCTACTCTTCTATTCCTAAACCAGATTGCACAACACCGGTCAGCCCAGCGAGTCTCCACCTTCTCCCCGGGTCACTCAGGAGAGAGGGGAAATGAATGTTGGTGAGATTGCTGTTCACATCGGTATCCTCCTGGCAAAGGACAGGAAGGAAGCTGGGGGAAGGGGAAAAGGAGCCCCAAGCTGCTGAGAATGGAACAGACAGAAGATCCAGGGCTGGAAACCTCCCTTGCCATGAGTCAGTCCCTTAAAAGCAAAAGTTGAAAACAATTACCCAAGCAGGCAGGGCCACAACTGCAAATTGGCCTTGGCAGACGCTGCTGCTTTCAGGCCGCTTCACTGACAATTAAAAGCTCTTTAAAACATTGCTGCTATTTTTCTTTAATTAATCCCTAATCCCTCGGAATCTCTGGATAAACATTTGCCTCTGTTGCCACTCCAGCGATGGGGGAGTGGGAGCCTGAGCATGCCCGGTTTGGACGGGACCCCGGGGCTCAGCAGAAACCAGGGCTGCAAAAAGGAACTGTAAGGAAAATAAGCAGATGTCCACACCCAGCAGCCCCCAGGGTGGATTTACAGGCAGCTTGGAAAAGAGCAACCCATTGAAACGGGTCCAGGGATGCAAGAAAGAGAAAAAGTACAACCCATTGCACCAGGGCTGCTTCTGAGAGCTCATTGTCTGCGGCACCGTGTGGCACGAAATCCAATCCCCCCCCCCCCCCCCCCATGAATCCCAGGCTGTTCAGATCTGGGGGTCTGGCTCCAGTGTGTCTCAAATGGACAGAGCTCCCAGGCGGGAAAGGAGTTCGATGCTCCCAGCGGGTTTCTTACAAACTATTTGTCCTTGTCACAAAACCACCAGGTGAGACTGAAGCCTGGTCAACGCTAGACAATGAGGTCCATTTAACAATGTTGGTCAGGGGTGTGAAAAATCCACCCCCCAAGCAGCGTGGTTAAACCGACCTAAATCCCTGTGTAGGTAGCGCTAAATTGCTGGAAGAATTCTTCCATCAACCTAGCTACTGCCCCTCGGGGAGGAAGATTAGCTACGCCGACGGGGTGGTAGGGTCTACACTCAAGCGCTGCAGAGGCGTAGCTGTGCTGCTGGAGTGTTTTAAGTGTGGGCGAGCCCTGACAGCCGCTTCTTGGGGGCTATCCGTAGGGAGGTGACAAGTCTTCACTGAGGAGCAGCTGCTGTGGGGAGGGAGATAGTGGGACTGGAATAGCAGGGAGCTGCAGGGCAGGATGCAGGGAGCATCCGCACAGCTGCAGAAGGGAAATCGTGCATAGCACCTGTCTGCGCCTCACATCTCTCGTTGCGACTAGCAAAGTGAGACGCTTATAAATATTAAATTCCTCAAAAACCTCCACAAAAAGAGACACAAAAGGCCCCTACATCTGGCAACTAAACTTAGCACATTTCAGACCGCTGCAGACAGAACACCAGGCCTGGATTTCCGCTCTTTATTTCTGGGCTGCTACTATTTCAGGAAATTATTTCCTCTGGTTGAAAGATGGTTTAAACCTAGCTGGGGACTTGGATAAATACAACCTTGAATGCCAGCTCTGTCCTGGGATCTACAAGGGGCTTCAACCTGGAGCCAGTGTGGGTAGTACATTGCATAAAACTCCTTCCTAGTCCAGGGATACCTACTGGCTTACAAATATAGGTGTAGATTTTAATATGGTGTACACACACGTTATGCTGGGAGGGCAGAAGGGGCGGAGCACGAAGTTGTGTAAGTTCTTTGGTACTAAATGAGATCAGGACTCAAATCAGAAACATTTAACAGAGGACATGACACACACACACACAGTCTGCCAGTGCTCTGACTATATTCAGTTGCAAATTTGCTTCCATTAACAGCAAGCATATCTGTTGATATTAGAAGTTGTTCTCTAACCCACGCAGGAAAAGAGAGGGTGCCTGTACACGAGGTAATGTTATCAGCACAGATGGGGCAGAATATAGCAATCATCTCTTGATGCCTTCAAATCAAGAGTGGATGCCTTTCTGGAAGATGCACTTTAGTGAAACGCAAGGTATTGGGTTCAATACAGGGGTAACTGGGTGAAATTCTCTGGCCTGCGTTACACAGGAGGTCAGACTAGATGATCTAATGGTCCCTTCTGGTCCTAAAAAAATCTTTTAATCCTCCTTACAAATGTACACAGTCATTTAAGACAACTGGCAACAGTTAGTGCGGGCCTTATCCAAAGTGAAAAGCAGTCTGACTTCTGTGGGCTTTGGATCAGTCCTATTTGCAGTATTTCCCAGGTTGCTTAGATCCTAATAGAGTGGGGGCAACCTTATGCATCTCAGAGAGCACTGCTATATTTCAAGGGCAGCCCCTGCCAGCCATGGACTGCATTAAGTGGATCTGCCGTCACTAAGGTTCTCTCAATGGTTCGGCCACCCACTGCGAGGATTGTGGCCTGGAATTTCACCGGCACTCACTGGCCGAGCTCGCCTCACCTGGAGTTTCTGCAGCAGTACCAGATCAGCAATCTTGTCCTTGTCCTGCTTGGTTTGCTTGGCCTTCCAGTACTGCTTCTGGGCAGAGTAGCGGTTCATGGGACATACTTTGAAGAGACAGTCTAGAATGACAGAAGGCCAAAGGGTTACAGTGTATCGCTCTAGGGACATGCTCAGGTCAGTCAGTGGCATACCCCCTATAGGAACCTGCGTCTGTGGCTGGGCAGTGTGGGAATAAGGCTAGTCACGTTCAAAGCCTGTAGGGACACTGTCCCCATTTCAGGACTGCTGAGCGAAGACCCTGATCTTGCAAGGAGTTAAGGGCACTCCATTCCATTTCCGGAGGCCACACCCTCAGCTGGTGAAAGCCAGTGGGACGGTGGCAATTTACACCAGCTGAGTATCTGGTGTATTGTATCTATTGTATCTCAGCTTCAAATCTGGTAAGTATAGAGGAGAGGTCCTCAACCAGGGCTACGCGTAGCCCTGGAGGTACACAGAAGTCTTCCAGGGGTACGTCAACTCATCTACAGATTTGCCTAGTTTTACAACAGGCTACATAAAAAGCACTAGCGAAGCCAGTACAAACTAAAATTTCATACGGGCAGTGACTTGTTTATACTGCTCTGTATACTACACACTGCAATGGAAGTACAATATTTATATTCCAACTGATTTATTTTACAATGATGTGGTAAAAATAAGAAAGTCAGCAATTTTTCAGTACTAGTGGCTGTGTCACTTTTGTATTTTCATGTCCAAATTTCGAAGAAAGTAGATGTTAAATGAGGTGAAACATGGGGATACGCAAGACAAATCAGACTCCCAAAAAGGATACAGTCCTCTGGAAAGGTTGAGAGTCACTGGCGAGATGACTCAGTGGTTTAACCTGCTCCCCGACTTTCAGATCTATTTGCTCTCAACAGAAATTACTACACAAACTGGTAAGATTTTCAACCTGGGTGTTCTGCAGTGATAGTCCAGGTACATGCTGTGACAGATATGGCAATTTCCTGCATTTCCTTGGGGAGACCTTACTGAATTAAGTTTAACTCTCTTTGGGGTATATTGAATTAAATGCAAAGTTTCTGTATTAACATGGGCTGGGATTGTAGGTAACCTCTCTAGGGTGGAGATGTAATGTGAGGCCTGAGAGTTCAAAGGACTATATTGAAAGTGTGCAAGACAAGAATGGACTTTTGGGACAATAACTGTTAAGTGGATTTCCTGGGGAATATCTCAGGGGAGGTGAATGCAAATTCCCCTACTCTGGTTATACCCAAAACCTGCCTTTGGAAGGGACACCCTGAGAACAGGGTCATTGTCTGCTGATTGATCTTGTCTCCAGAACCAGGTAAAGACCCAAGCTGTATAAAGAAATGGCTGAACTGCCCCACCTGGTTCTGGTACTGATTCTGAGACAGTTATGAATCCATAACCATGGGGAAAACTCAGTTGTGGGGTTTGAAGGACTGACACCGACTGGAGCCTAAGGTTGGAACTGGGGTGACCTCTGCTAAGCTTATTAGCATGTATGCAGCTTCTTTTATTGTTTTTAATACGTTTTTTCTGTGATGCTTTCACCTTAAGAATAAATGTGCTTGCTTAGCAAGAGCTGTGTGGTAACTTATAACTGTAGGCAATGCACTGGGAAAGCAAAGTGCAGATGCAGGGCCTTTTAGCCAGTCTGGCTTGCTAAGGATATCACAGAATAGGCAGGGAACTGCGCAGCCTGGAACAACCACGGTCAGGAGGGAGGGAGACACAGGTCTCTACCTAAGAGAGGTGACAGGTGGGAGATGAAACCTTTAAGCTGGTGCCCTTGGTGGACCATGGAGGGGGAACACAGGTTCGGTTTCCCTAAAACTTTGACACTTGCCTCAAACAGGTCACTGTGCACATACGTACCTATCTGCACACAGTTACTACCTCTTCTGACTGTGCCAAAAACATGGTCTGCACACATGCTGAGCCAAGTCAAACACCAAAGACGAGATTGTGATGTCGTTTACAGCAGTGCAATCTAGCTTAACTCCTTTCTATTATGTGGAGTCACGCAGAATTTACCCTGGTGAAACCGACAGCAGAATCCAGCCCAAAGATTTAGAGGTGCGGCCCCTTAACGAAGACCATATGTGAAATGTTCTAAACAATTGGGTTCTTTCCCTCTGTTGTATTTGGAATAAAGTACAAGAGAAACTGGCAGTAAAACCAGAAAAAACACAGTTAAGACGATCAAGTCAACTGTTCTCTGAATTCACCAGGAAATCCCACAGGATTCTGAGTGACTGAGCATTCGCTCCATGAAATGCAGCTTCAAAGTGCATCATCTCTCTTTGGCTGGGTATACCATGCAGGAAGGACACCCAGACACAGAAGCTGTGGGAGTTTTTTACTCCTTTAGCAGTTGTCAAAGTGTGACAAAGTCATGTAACACGCTGGCTTAGTGTAAGTGCAATATTGCTCTCTAGTGAATACTCATAGAGAGGATAATAGACTTACTATTGGTACCAGTAGCTATGAAAATGTCTTTAAGTTCATTGGGTAAAGGCCTGTGTTTCGGGAGCCAAAGTTCAAGGGGTCTGACCCTCGCTCCCCAAATGTGTGAATTATCTGACAACATTAGATAGATAGATCCCAAGAGAGGTGTGATCGTTCCATTACAGCCTCCCCACTCCGCTATGCTGTTCAGTGTTGAGAGGTGTTTTTGTGAGGGAAGGGACCATGCAATGATCCAGACACCCTATTCGTGATTTGTGAATTGAAAAAGCAAGGTCATACCCCTGGAAAACAGCCTCAGAGACTGCATTTTTGATCTGGATCAGAAGGGGCTGGAGGAGGAAGAGATCACAGGCCTCAATCTTCCTTGTTGCTCCTGAAATAGCAGCCCAGAAACTTCAGACAAGAAGAAAAAAATCATTTTCCATCCTTGGCTCCCGTCCTGAGTTGCTGGTGAGCATGTATTGATTTACCTGGGAGCGACAAACGAACAGGCACAGGGCACAGTTCTCTGTGCCTCTGGAGGGAAGCCAGGTTTCAGGTCTCATTTCACAGGTCTGTTTGCTTATGGCATATCCCACGCCAAGGAGCCCTTGTGATGCTGTACCACTAGAATGGGACTCCAGGGTGGCTCTATCCTGCCCTCATGATGGCTACTGGGTTTAAGACTGGCCCCAAATACCACCCTAGGGGAGATGGCCAGGGAATCTCTGAGTCCAGATCAAAGGGCTGTGTTGCCACCTCCTACACGGACCTGGAGTTATATTGATGGTATCCTACATTCCCCCACAATGTGGTGGTTATAACAGGGTTACTGAGAGAAAGACTCTGTTAGCCCGCACCGGCTTCTATCCAAGGATTTCAGAGCACTTTCATTACTTCGTTAATGAGGTTGCAAAGGAGCCTGATGAGATAGGCACCGAGACAGTACGGCTATTAAGAGATGGATCCAAATCAAAGCCCTGGATCCAAACTGCTCCTCAACCTCAGGGGATTTGCAATCAAGAGCTGAGCATTAGACCTGGCCGAGAACATTTCTGCAAAATGGTTTTGTGTCAAAAAATGCCAATTTACCGAGACCAAAACTATTCGCCAAACTGTCAGTACTTCCCAAGCAGTCAAAAAAAATCCAATTTTCCAGTGGAAAACAGGTTTATGTTTTGAAATTAAACCTAATTAGACTAAAAAAACTTTTAAAAAGAAAAAAAAAAAAGAGGTCAAAATAGGAACAAACATTTTGATTGACCCAGAACAAACAAACAAGTTTTTTGGTTTGTGACTATTTGAGATTTCAACTTTCCATCCCGATTTGAGATGGGCAAAACTCTTGAAAATATTCCCAGGCCAGGAAAACTATTTCCCACCCAGCTCTCCTGAACATGGCAGCTCATGCCCATCTTAGTATTATCCCCATTTTGCAGACAGGGACACCAAAGCAGAGAGATACAGTGACTTGCGCACTATCATGCAGAAACCAGAAAGCCTGTAGCAAAGGCAGGATTTGAAGTCTAGTGTTTGACTTCCAGCCCTGTGATCTAACCACTGTTCCACCCACCAACCCACTGGGAGCGAAGAGTTAATGGTGGCAGGCTGGGGGAAGCTCTTAGCCAGCATTATGTTAGTTTTACCACTGCCCTCCACTGCACTCCTTAGAGCAAACCCAGGGCAGCTCACACGTGCTCTCAAGTAGATCATGGCAGGGGTTAAACTGAACTGAATTTAAACACCTGGAGAAACCCCCTGCGGAGCAGGAACCAGAATCTTCCAGTCCAAAGGTTGAGCACAGGAGCGAATACATTGCTGAAATTTTTCAGGCCTTGCCAATCCAGCGAGGTGCTGAGCCCCTGCAGGATGCTGAGTGTGCATAGCACCTGACAGGCGGCACCCAGCACCGGGCAGAATCATGCCCCACATGTCCTTGTTCCATATACTCACACGCAGCAATTACGCTGTCTGTTACACCCCACACAAAAGTCCATTAAAAAAAAAAAAACACACACACACAGACACACTGTCATCTGCCCAACACCGTGGAGGAGTTAAACGCCTGGTTTGCTTTCTCCCAACATGCCTCAACGTGGGGCTGTGCCTCTGACAGGAGCCTCGGGGGGGAGAGGAGGGGGGAACCACAAAAAAGCAAGCAAACAGGACTCAGAAGGATGTGTTGCCCTGGCCAGCCCAGACACTACACAGCTGAACTCTGCCTTTCTAGCCTCGGGGCAGCTGGAGGGAGAGACTCCCACGATATTTTTCAAACCATCGGCCGGATTCTCACTTGCATGACAGCCCCTTTAGGCCACTCTGGCAGCAGCAAGGAGTCTTAAAGGGGGCTGAAGCACCTCCCCGAGAATCCCCATGTGCTGTAAGGGCTCTATGCCAGCACTGCACCCCAACACAGGGCTTGGATCAGTGCATGGCCGGAATGCACTGCTTTATGGCTACTCGCCGCTTCCTGGGGCCCATATGGGAAGCAGGGCATCATTTAGAGCAGCGGTTCTCAGCCTTTCCAGGCTACTGTACCCTTGCAGGAGTCTGATTTGTCTTGCGTACCCCCAACTTTCACCTCACTTCAAAACTATTTGCTTACAAAATCAGACATAAGAATACAAAAGTGTCACACCCA